GTTTACCTATTAGGGCTCGGGAATTCTACAGTGGCGTCGGATTAGGGCGCAGACATGTTGGGCCACCTGGCCTCAGCCAATACCGTTTCTCTCTGCAATCCAATGGCATGCGGGAAAGGAAGGCAGCCAACCAGAGAAGGACATGGATGAGATGCAGTATATAATGAGCGGCATGAGCAGCGTGGTGGACTCGGACGGAAGGCGCCTGACTCGTGGCTCTGGCTTCTGATTGGTCAATAAAGCCTGTTCTGTTGTACCGGTCGTTTACCTATTAGGGCTCGGGTATTCTACAGTTGCGACGTATAAGGGCGCAGACATATTGGACCACGCTGGCCTCTGCCAATCTTCGTTTGCCTGCGTTCCATTGACATGCCACTAAGATAAGCAGCCAACCAGACAGACACAAATGGGGAGCAGTATATAACCGGCGGCGTAGCCAGCGTGGTGGACTCGGATGGAATGCGTATGGTGCTTATTTCCGGCTTTAGATTAGTCAATAAGGCCTGTTCTGTTGAACTAGTCTTCTTCACACTAGGACTCGAACATTCTACATTGGTAGAGGCGGATGCGTTCGAGTAACGCTAATCGAAACCCAGCCTTTTCTCTACAATGGAAAACAAAGACGAAGACCTTTAAATGCCAGCTGAAGTTGTCATGGCGGTCATCCGATGTCCCATGCACTGGATCGATAGACATTGCCCGGGATTAGGACTACCGCATCTGAAAAGCCATTGGCAACTCAGCGACGACGACGCCATGGACGGTCAAAGCCAACTGAACTGCAAGTGAAGAAGGAACCTGCGATGGATAAAATGGCCTTCCTGCAAGTCAATAAGAGTAAAGTCCCTCGCCAACTATTCGCTTGGGCCACCATCCTGCCAGATGTCAGGTGTCGGGTAGTGTCGAACAGGATATTATACCAGTCGTCGAGAGTACGAAGAACCAAGCCAGAGGCTGAGAACGCCTTTACTCCTAAGGGGGAAGCAGTGTGGTGTCCTATATGGGCGCAGACAAATTGGACCACGCTGGCCTCAGCTAATCCTCCTCATTAAAAAACTGCTGGCTGAGTTTAACAAGAAACAACTTTTAAGCATGTGCCAAATTGGAAATCGTCACAAATCAGTGGTAGCAATGGCGACATTGCCAAAAATAATAACCTTGAATTTTATGAAAATCCTGATAAATTAGAAGCAAGTTGATTGCACTTTTGCCACTGCATCAAATTTCTGTAAAAGCAATGTTTTTCACTGCGATTTATTTTGTCAAGAATTTCGAGTAATTTACTTTTACTTTTCATATTTGCAGAAAAAATTCGGGCTTCTTAGCAACCAATCAATAAGCACCTTCATACATTGCCACTGTTTATTGTTCAGTAGAAATTCCTAGTTGGCTAGCAATGTTGATTACATAGAACTCCAAATAAGAAGGCTGTCGTTTGATATTTGCAAAAGTATGCGTTAAAATTTAATTAATTTTATAAATGCACCTAAAATATTTAGAAGGTTATATTGTTTGTTAGGTTCTTGTCAAGCGAAAAAGATTGTTAAAATAAGGATCCGCACACTGTTTCGAAAAAATTGCATTAATGTTTGAAGACAAATTTGTCTTGAATTCTATATTAAAACAACAGGCGGACCACAATGCAAAATACTGCTCTCATTAATTTATTGCTTTTTATCAATCTTAAACGGGAGCTTCGGTTTTGGTGTAGGTAATTAAATGAAGTATGTTCCGTCATTAAAAAATTTCACCTCGAATAACTTATGTAAAAATTTGACGAAGTGCATTCTTTGCAACATACCTTTTACGATTTCGCTTGCTCACATTATGCAGTAAAACTAACCAAACACATCTATAAAATAATATGTTTATTGGTAAGTGTGCAACATTAATAACTTTATATCTTAATGATGATTTGTTTAGCTACACATGTTTTGTAAAACCACTTTGCCAAATCTCCTAAACTAGTCAACGACACTAAAGTACCTCAGTCTGGGTCGCTATTCTTTAATTAAGGAGAGTTAATCCCCTTGTTATTATCGTGGTGAATTTTTTTAAAATGATTAGCCTGATAGTTTGAACAGTGGAGACACTATAAGTGTGCCATTTCAACAATAATTGATCAAATGTTTACTAATAACCAAGTAATGCAATGTGATTTTTGTACAAATATTTAGAGTTTAGTTGTGTATTGACTTTTGTGTAGGTCTCGAATAACACCGGACTTCTGACATGCATTTGACTGAACACTTATAATGGCAAGTATTAGAAGTAGCCTCGGCAAAGGTTTATTTGGTAGCTTAATTCCTGTGTGCGGTTACACAGAGTTGTGTGTTATAATAAGTGAAAACAGGTAGAAAATTTGCTGAAATATTAGAGGGTCTAGATTAAATCACATTTTTATTTCATTAAACCACGTTTTTGTAATGTTATTTTGCAATTTTTATTCACAAAAAAAAACACTTCTTAAAATAGATGTGCTTAAACAGGGCCATAAGAGGCACTTTGTCAGGATTTTCGAATAACTTAACGGTCAAGTGTTTCATGAAATAAATAAGAGACAACTTCTCGGAAGTTGATTTTGATTGTAACAATTTTATATCATAATGAATGATGTAACTGGCCCTTAAATATGCAGTTTTTTATTTTGAAATTTTTGAACATTTTTATTTTTACTTCCATTTGCGTTTATGTGCACCAACACTGATATTCTAATTTTCCTCTTATTAATATTGGTAGTCGGACCTTTGAGTGTACCATTTCTGAAACCTGCACTCATGACCGCTCAGGCCATTTACATGTAAACGCATGTGAACATTCACCTGGCATTTGGCTGAGATAGTAAATGCTTCCAGCACGAGGTCTTCTCATTTTGTATATTTTGCGTGAATGGCGCCTGCTCATAAATGTCTTGCCCTGGTACCAATCCGGAATGATTATCCCGAGAGATCAGGGGAATCGGTTGTTTACATCCGATATATTACATTTGAGTATAAGGAAAAATAGCAGCTACGCAATCAATCTATAATTCACATATAATATTTATCCAGTCTAGGCAAAGACACTTCGGACGCGCTTTAATGCACTAAGGCAAGAAGAAGTCATATGATATCAGGTATTAAAATTCTAAGTAGTGATTTAAAATTTCTCTTGTACCGTTACATTTAAAACACACTAGCCACACCGCTAATGTATGAAGTAATACTCAGGTTTCAAGAATCAATTCTAATTGTGTGTTGTACATCATTAATTGATAAAATGACAAAAACATGAAGATGGGAAAATAGTACAGTTAAATGCTGAAAATATATATGTGGTGCGAAATACCAAAATTAAAGGAACAAATAAACTACAGTTTTAGTCAAAAGCACCTGGACTCAAACCAGAGCATGCATGCGATTTATTGTGAATAAATACTTTGGTGTCATCATTCATCAAGTAAACTGCGCAACAGAACAGGATTCACAATTGTTAAAATGATATTCTGTAAAATTTACAGAATGTTAATCCTCTTTGCTCATTTGATTGTCTATGAAATGCCTACAATTTCTTAGACAGTTTTAGGAATATCTATTTTTTCTCCTTCTGTCTGAGTAATACTCTTCCCTATGCGATTCTCCTCTGACGTTTCTTTGGCGACTGTTGGAAAAGCACCGGCAGTTTGTGTGCATTTTGTCAATTATAACAATAATTAATCTAAGTATACTCTTTATGTCAGTAACCTTCGGATTTAGTACCAATATATTCGCTTAATTCTATAATTTTGAACCGAACTTGTACCCTATTTTTTTGAATTCGTTCTTCGAAATTTGCGCAAATTCTAAAAGTTTATAGAGGGGTTCGTTGTAGAAGCCCTAAACTAGTCTCAAGTGGGGTTATTTCATCAAACCACTGCAAGTTCAGTGCAAAATGCCCATAAAGTGAGATTCCTTTCTTTAATTTTTTTGGCCTTTCAAGTTACCTTACATTTAAATGAAATTATTGTTTTTGCCTTTGGAAATTTGATACCAAAGTTATTGACTGATATTAGTCATAGCAATCAGTTTTAACACATGAGGACCTTACTGAGCTTGCGATTGAGATTTTTTAGTCAGTTAATGAGCAAATCTCATGCAACCTAGCGAATATCTTAACGAATCTGTCAAGTATCATTTAATTTTTATTTGTTGTTTTTAAGATCTTTAAGGCTTTCCTATGAGCTGTACAAATCAGCAACTGCGTTCACTCTTAATCCTGTAATTATCCTGCATGGGTTGCTGGGATGTAAGCGCAACTGGCGCTCTGTTGCCTGTTCTCTCAACGCTAAGGGTTTTGGGAAAGTACGTTTGCTGTCCTTTTTCCGTGCTGAATAGGTATACTGTGTAGATGCAAGGAATCATGGATCGAGTCCTTGGTCAACGGATACTAGCTATGAGTCGATGGCTGAGGATCTTCTCAATTTTATTCATGACTTGAGTGTTACGAATGTTTCAGTGATTGGTCACAGTATGGGCGGAAAAATTGCCATGACAGCTGCATTAATTGAGGTAAGTAGGCGAAGATCCCACATTTTTTCACTACTATTGTTATCGCCGAGTCAGGATTTTGGTGAGGCTTAGTTGTACTTTGTTTTAGAAACGCGTTAATGCGTGTTGTCTTCGTCACTTTAGCCCACCATGATTGATCGGTTGGTCGTTGTGGACATCGCTCCTCACCTGTCTCCAAATAAAGCAAATACAAATTTGCTAGTTTCGCTTATGAGTCACGTCGACTTGGATGCAAGGATGGCTGGTTGCAGGAATATTTACGACCTCCGAGCTCAGCTAATGGAAGAATGGAAGGATACAGTACCCGTAAGCGTGATTTTAAGTAACTTACCGCTCCATTGTATTAACACTGCGGTTAGTACCCAATAGACTTGTAGTAATGGGTAACTTTTGCACACGTGCCGTCTGGTCACACATATTCCGCTATATATATTTTTTGTCCTTCTCTGTATTTTCTTGGTTGAATTGATTATCTCACGTACTCTTAAAATGAGTAAGATAGAATTATTGAACCCTAGATGCTGTCTAGCCTCATTAAGCACTATTGAACCACATCAGCATTTGATTTTAGTCCCTTCAGCAACGCGCTTTCGTGCTAAGTAATCTCGTCGAGGCTGACGGTAAGGCTGCTTGGAAAGTCAATGTAAAAGCCATTCAAAATGGACTGGACCAGATTTTCTCTTTTCCTTTTTCTATGGCTGATGACTCCGTCTCCTTTGACGGACCTGCTCTTTTTGTTGCTGGTGAGCTATCACCATTTCTAGGGTATGTGCCTTCGAATTGTCAGATTTTAAATCTTTTGGTTGCTTCTTGGCATATCTAAATTCTTCGTGTATGTACCAACCGCTTTTTCACAATTCTACCTGGTATTTAGTCTCTTTAGTTTTGGCTACTAAGTATGCTTGCCGTTACCTTCTCTACAATTAAACCTACTTCCAATTATTTTTAGTACAGTCAAAATGTTTTAGTACAATACTATTCATCTGTGCTTCAGGACAGAACAAATGCCTTACGTGTTGCATTTCTTCCCCCGAGCCGTACGTGCGCAGATTTCAGGCGCAGGGCATTGGGTAAACGTCGACGCCCCTGAAGTTCTCTCAGATACAATTTCAATATTTCTTAACAGCACCAATGCATGTGTTTAAAAAGTGCAATATATTGTTTTTTAATGTATCCAACGTTTTCTAAGCAGTTTATAAGAATGCGGAACACAATGGTTGCTGACTTGCCACGACTTTCTCCTGATTTTAAATTACAAATAGTAGCCCTAATTACAGAAAACAGAAGCCTATGTTGGAGGCGTTGACTACTGTTCGTGGGGTCGTTTCACCGGGTTGCCTGTCTGTGCAAACCGTATCTGCATCGTTTTAATCTCGTTTTATATCAAATTAAGATCGGTTTGTACGGATATGTGGCGAGTACTGTTTCAGAGTGCAGGCTTGTGTCACGTAGAGGCTATCGAACCCCAGAAGCAACTCCAGCTAACTTTGGCTGCCGACCTTGCCCATTAAAGCAAAGCTCTACCGAGATCCACCTCATATGGTAATCACGCAGACGTAAAATCCAAACCTGCGGATGCGTATCAAACTAGCGGTCCGCGATTACTTCTACAACATAAATAGGAACACGCCAATGAAAAAGTTCCTTTTCAAGTATGGGTAATCGAAGCGGAAATAAGTTAGTGGTATGACTTGGAAGAATCACGTAAAAACCGTCTAAATAACGTCCTATAGTAAGGATATTTATAAAACAATATGCCTGGGAATGTTTTATTTAATTTTTTAACTTTGAGGGAACCCTAATTTTCGCTTTGAGCAATAGTAAAAAGGATTCATGTAGAAATAATATTTGACTTAACTATTGACTTTGGTACAGCACTAGCACATTTGAGAGGTGGACACAATGGAGTCTCCAATATACCATTTCTCGAGGAAGTAATGAATGTAAGGACGGTATGAGTGGAGAGCGTTTCCTAGCCTTTTTTTAGCAGGATTATTTGTGATGTTACTTCCAGAAGACGACGTTCAGAAAGACAAAGAAAGCAGGGGACTTTGTTCCCACAGCCCTAATTAACTAGCATTTCAAACCCAATAGAGCCAACTCAACTATCCGATGGAATATAAGAGAAAGTCAGCCATCAAAACGAACTTTACCAAGAAAACGAAATAAGAAATGTTAGACTTTGCTGCACGGCTTGCGGACTACCTCGTGCAATTTTAAAAAGCACGTACAATGGGGTAAAAGAAAACGGACGCGTTCGTGAATTACAATCGTACAAATACATTAACAAGTTAAATCGAATTTAGTTATTCACAGCCATAACAACATAACTTGATTTATAGTTAAAAGGTTGGTTTGAAGCCTTTGATCTCGTTCATGATTTGCGGAATGCTGACCAATTGATTACGCACTGGCATTGATTTATATGGAGGAAGAGTCATAACCTTGTGGAAGCGATGATACACTTGAACAAACTGTGAAAGAAGTGCCTAAAATGACAGACGGGGTTTTCGATGAGTAAGCCAAACTGCGCTCACCGACATTTAAATTCTAAGCTTAATGCTAGATTCTGCTTAGCACCGCTAACAATTATGACCGATAGACATAGAAAGGTAACAAATGTATTAAGTGGTCGACGAGTGAATTTCAGTGGTGTGGTTTTTAATGCAACTAAAGTTTTGGTGAACTAAAGTGGTTTCGTAGGATGCGTCATCGGAGCATGCCGATTTCATAAGGGGAACGGGTGACACACGATCACGATTATTTTTTTACAAATAAAAATAAAAGCAAAACTTACGTGAAAAACCTGAGTTCCGAGAGTGAAATTAGCGAACTCGAGCATGATTTCACCATTGATTTTCTCAATAGAATTTTTCCAATCAATGTTGAATCCCTTAACGATGTGAGTAACTCGACCTGTAAAAGCAAACGAATCTGTTGATCGATAACACCATCGGTGAAAGCAATCAGAATCCTCCGATGCCAGTTACGTCACGCATTAAAACGATCACGATTTGGTTGGGCGCTTACGCATTAAGCGATCAACAGTAGTTACAGATGACGGAATTACTTAACATGAAAAAGCCTCGATGCCCGGAGTTGGATGAAATTGATAGAAAAACACAAACTGAATTCTCCTGGTTTCTTAGGCCAGTGTGGTTTTAAAGAGCAAATAAAAACATTCCGTTGGAAAGATTATGAAGTATCGTGAAACCGATTTACAATAACTGGGTATTTGAGTACCTTCTTCACTTCTATCAGGCACCTCGTTGGGAGGTCGTTTCTCCACTGATTGGATGAAACTGATCATGCTACCAAAGTAAGGGAGCAGCGCCTGATCGATGTAGGCTGTCGTGTGCATTGCAACAGCTTCCCGACATCGGTTCACCTCCGGAGAGTTACCAGCACCTTTTTCCTAAAGTTTTGGGAATGGAGAGAACAGTATTAACTCCAGTAATCAAAAACCACAAACATACTATTGTTGGAGTTTAAAATAATACAATCACTAAGCGAAAGTCTATGGTAGTACATTGCGTAAATCAAATGGCAATTTCATATGTAATGTCAGTTGTGTGATAACGCTAATAGGAGTTAGATTGATACAAGAACGCTTGGGTGACTTCGATTCTCAGAAGCGCTTGTCTAAGCTAAAATAGATACGACGTGTGCAGTCAACATTTGCGCTACTTCCCTCGCTATGCAGATTTTGTGGCCTCGTACGATAAGCGTGGTATACAGGCAGGCCAAATGCTCTTCGTCACACATCAATAAGACGAGGGGCTCACTGAGAGGACACTGATGATCAGATCGAAATTGTTGATGAGAAAAACAAGTCGAAGACGGTTGCGGGGCAGGGCCTTGGCGAGGCGGTAACACACTGCCTCAAACTCCGCGTGCATGCGAGAAAGGGCTTGCAATACTCTGGAATCCAGAACACGAGTTTCCGTTTGTTCTGTCACAACAACGCTCTCTTTAAAAGACTCTGAAAAAAAAATCCAATCAGCAGACCCCTTAACGTTTGAGAGAATAGCTCCATATTATGAGGGCTTTAATCTCCCGGGTCACCTCAGAATTTGGGAGGACTTAATTTTAGTTAAAAGGTTATATATCAACAGCGGTTAGTTCAATCAATATAAATGATGATCACTTGGATGTCCACAAAAAGGCGCTGGGTATGCTAAAACAAAACGGTTTGTGGAAGACGCGTAAACAGCTGGGACTGCAACTTGAGGCAGGTCCATGGACTAGGTGGCTTGTTGCGAATCGTGAAATGAACTGAAATTCAGGACTCGCTAAGGCCATTTGAACATCCATCAAGTTCATTAATAAAAAGTAAAACCGACCCTATTTTCGGATAATTATGTAATACATCAAGCTATAAAAGTAAAAAAAGTGTTTTCAAAATTAAACACACGGCTTTGGGCGGCATAGACTATTTGAACACACTTTGATGTTATTGGTTATGAATAACATTTAAAAATATTTTTGGAGTTCCGATACCTTTAATTTAGTCCTGGGTTCATCATTTAGTGTCGCATATCCAAAATGTCAAAATACATTGGGGTTTATGAAAAAGGGCTTGCCTCATTTACCTGATTCTGACAGAGCACTGCCGATGGTGTGAAGGCTAGCGGCTAATTCGGCATAGCGTCGCGCCACTGGATGTGGGCGAATGAGGCTATAGGCGCGTGGAGATAAGTTGACCACAGCTGCCGCTTCGCTTATACCACCACCTCTCTGAATACGCAAGTGAAGAGCCGCGGCCTGTGTGAATTGCGTAGTGTCCAAGACACGCAAGGACACGATATGCGCCTCCATTCGGTCCACAACGCGACCCCACAAAATGTCGAGCTGGCCAAACCAGTACCTCAAAATAAACAATCAGATACTTTCACTTTAGTCCACATAGACAATGGATGGTCAATAAAGTAACGATACAATTGACGATCAACCCTATAGAAATTAATAGTACGAAATGAAAATTGTCGCCAATCTTCCAAAATCTGATTTTTGACAGAATAGCTATGAGGTAGATGGAATGGGATGTTTTCAAGAGTTTGAAGTGACTTATAACAAATGCGAATCTGATTTCGTTTATTTGCTGCGGACCTTTGGTGTTCCCTTAACGTATGTAGCCAGAAAAATTAAAATTCACTTTGTCTATCCTCGTAAAACAAAACCTTGTGGAGAATTCAGTATTATCCACTTCAGAAAGGCTGAAGCTAGTTATTGATGGTTACCGTGACTATCGTTTGCTGCGTACACTAAATTTCACTGGCAATCACTTCGACGTAAAACTCCGCATCAGCGCGAAGTCAACTTTACTTTGCATTCTCCTATAGGATTAGAAAAAGGAACACATCTTTGGCATTTAACTCATATTTGGCGGTTTGAATGATTTTACAGTTTGGTGCTTAATGCTATCAATAAAAAATATCAAAGCTTCCGCTGTGAAGGCATAGCAAATCCAAAATATGTAAGTGAGGACAAAACTACTGTGCCCTCTTACAATATCAGATCAACATTGTGGGAATAAAATTAGAAACATTAATTCCGTAAAGACATACCGATCGAGAACACGAACTCTTCTTTCGATTGTCAAATGAATCATCGAGTGAACAAGTTGAACACAAAGTAAGAGTCCAAGAAGATCAAATTGCCCAACGTGAATCAGCTGAGGCATTACACTTGTTTCAAGTGCATCAACTGTTCGATTGAAGACCTGATCAAACAAGGAAGTGGTTGCCTGAGCGCTTGTCTTTACATCATTGCTTTTAGAAACTGGCGATCCGAAGCTATGCAGGAAAAAGTCATCGAGGAAGACGTACTCACGGCAAGCAGTATCCAGAAGGGCATAATTTATCGACCTGAAAATCTCTTCAAGTGATAGCTAAAATGTATTCATAATAAGCATAATGGGCTGCTTAAAAATGTCATATATCAAGAGCACTAAATGCAACCTTGGCGTCGTTCTTAGAGGCGGCATGAGGAAGAAGAATGGCAGCTTGGAGGCCCTCTTTTGTTAACAAACGCTCCGCTCGGTCACCGAGGCCGAACTGACCGGGACGTGAAGATGCCTGACTCAAAGCGACCGAAGGAGACTGAAGGACGTTAGGTACGCCCGCTGTACTAGTATTCGAAGCACAATTAGCAAGGTCATCTGTCTTCTTGCCAACAAGATCATCCTTTTCCTGGTTACTATCAACCTAAAAAAGTGGGGCAATGTAATCAAATTAGCATAAGAAATAAACAAGGACCATAATAAAGTTATGACAGCATCATTAGCATTTAATTTCATTAAGGGGAAATGGGCATCCGCGGTAGAACGAAAAAGATTAAATGCGGGGATCAGGGTTAAGGTGCAAACACTCACTTGTAGCTTTAGCAGCTTCGAAGCATAGGTTTTAAAATAAGCAAAATACACCTTCCCCATCGTTGATGTGTAAGTATACCTAACTTCTCCAGCCACATCACTTTCATGTAGAAGAAGGAACTCGTAGAAATACCTAGGACATAACAACGCGAAATCGTATTGATAATGGAGCAGATCAAACATTCAAAATGATGGTAGCGAATTACCTAAAACGAAGTAGCTGGGCCTGGGGAACCTGGTAGTTAGACATTGGTTTACGCAACGTTTTAATTTTTTCCATGAGAAATTCTCGCACCCTGGTAACAGCCTACGCAAAAAAGTGGATAAATATCGTTATTGACAATGTTATTTGTGAGAAGGAAAAAGCCAACACGGCAATAAAAATAGAATCGCTACCATTTACTTAATACAGCCAGTAGAAAGGATGGGGAAGCTTAAGACTAGGTGATTTTTTGACATTCTGCAAAGTGAAAAAATAACAAAATACCTTGATTTTTAGTTTATTTAACAACGACCCAACATCTTGACAGGAGGGGTAACTAGTTACACCTCGATTAGCAAGCACATTCAGCTTGTGATCTAATTCATGCAGATTTTCAATAAAATCCTGCTCCGTTACCGGAGTGAGCAGAATATGTCTAAAATAAGAAAATTAGTCGTGTTCTAAAAGTATCTTACTGAATTAACGAGTCCGGAACGATCATGTCCGACAAAAATTGGCTCAGTTCACAGCGCACAGCCTAAATAAAAGGAAAAATGCGCAACGAATTTGTTGTACGTAAAAATGAAGTGAATGCACAAAATCTTTTAAAATTATCATGTTACAAAAATTTAGAAGTTTGTCTTTATATGAATAACAAACAGGTAGGTAAATTATAAAGTTCTTGTTAGTCATAGGTGCATTGCTTTAACAAGGAGAACGATAGGCAATTTACCTCAATGAAACAAACCACCAATATAAACTAAAATAATAGAATCAAAAAATAATTACTTGGCGGTTTTGGAGCCGCTGATTCATGGCCATAGATCTTGCCTGAAGGTCCTGAATGTCAGAGCTGATTGCTCCCAGATCTCGGTGAAAGTTCGCCAGTATGTTTTCCATACGCTACGAACATCCAAAAAAAGTAACAAGTACCTCTAGAGTCCTACAACAAGCTGAAATTTTCTTATGCAAGCCTAACACATTTGGAGCCGATCGAACATCTAGAAGTAAGACCATAATGCATACTCACATGCGCCAACAGCAGACGACTCAAGATTTCTTAATTGTTCTTCCACACGTTTAGAATAAATTCTGAGATCAACATCCTGGAAGAATGTATTGATAAGAACACCTCACTTACAGATTCCAATACAACGCTAGACACTTCACTGCTTAAGGAATCGACTTCGCTACAGCGGTCACTTAAAGTTGCAAACGGTACCGTCGACGAAGCATTAATTTCTCGTGAAGACATCCTCTGGTGCTGAGTTGTGTGTTGTGTGTTGTGGTTTGACGTCGGATTAGGGCGCAGACATGTCGGACCACCTGGCCGCAGCCAATCCTGTGTCCCTCTGCGTTCCAATGGCACGCGAGGAAGAGAGGCAGCCAACCAGAGAAGGACAGACTGAGGTGCAGTATATAATGAGCGGCGTGGCAGCGTGGTGGACTCGGATGGAAGGCGCCTGGCATGTGGCTCTGGCTTGTTAACGGTCGCTAAATCCTATTCTGTTGTGTCAGTCTTAATCAAACTAAGGCTTGGGGATTTTACAGGTAGCAAAACTTGTAAAACAACACATGCTGCAGAAACAAGTAGTGTCACTGACATATTCTATTGTGAAGTATGAATAAGTTTAACTAGGACATTATCCTCTGAGATTAAAATTTAGCCATGCTGGAGGCTCAGGCATACCAAAATTAGGCACTATCACCCTTTTAATTAGCCAACGGCAGCAGCTAAACGCAAAAGGACACCTGCAAGGGATTACTGTGCTAGAAATGGAAAACAATAATAATATATAGTGTAGTGCTTGCTACTGCGCCATTGTATGGACAAGAAGAGAGCAAGGCAAAATAGAGTTGTTTATTAAAGGCTGAAACTAGTCAAAATCTGATTACAAACTGGTCGGCCGTACGGGGGAAAACAGGGTCCGCAAATATTCTTGTCCCGTTGGTCTGTTCCGCGGCGCTATAATATAAACAGGGAATTCGTGAGCGAATTACATCTTATTCGCCGGCGCGCCATTCAATGCCTTAGTGACACTGCGCAGCCGGAAGTCGCCCCCCGATCACATGACGTCGTCAACATGGCATATTGTTTACATTTGGCTAATGAAAGAGCCAAGATGGCTTCTATCTGCCATTCCGCTACACTCGCCACCCTCTAAGACTTAGCTCTCCCCGGCATTTGGCTTAGTTCCCCGCCCTTCTAATGATTAATAAAATATGCATACACGGCGCAAAACTGAGCCCACCAAATAGGAAAGCTGTTTTTAGCTTCAGGCCTGGTTCCTTGCACTGTTGCTGATATCCAGTGTTGGCAAAATATCCAGTTCGACACTCCCCGCAACCCACATCTGGCAGGATAGTGGCCCATGCGAACAGTTGACGAGATACTTTACTCTTGTAGACTTGCAGGAAGGATTCTTCATCCATCGAAGGTCCATTCGCAGTTGCGGTCCAGCTGGCTTCCACTGTCCAAGTCGTCGTCGCTGAGTTGCCAATGCCTCTTCAGATGCAGTAGTCCTAATCCCAAGGAATGTCTATGGATCCAGTTTATTGGACATCAGATGACCGCCATGAAATTTCAGCTGGCATTCTAGGGTCTTCGCCTCTGTTGACCGTGGAAGAGAAAGGGCTGGGTTTCGATAAGCGTTATTCGAACGCGTTCGCCGCCACCAATGTAGAATACCCGAGCCCTAATAGGTAAAAGACTGGTACAACAGGACAGGCTTTATTGACCAATCAGAAGCCAGTGCCACGCGTCAGGCGCCTTCCATCCGAGTCCGCCACGCTGGCCACGCCGCTCATTATGTACTGCATCTCATCCATGTCCTCTGGTTGGCTGCCTTCCTTTCCCGCATGCCATTGGGTCGCAGAGAGACACGGGATTGGCTGCAGCCAGGTGGTCCAACATGTCTGCGCCCTAATCCGACGTCACACCACAACACACTACACCACATTCTATTATCTCGAGATTGAATCATTTACTTTAGAGCAATTTGAGAATTCAGACTCACGAAAGTTGTACTTGGCTTCTTTTGTGTTTATGTAGCTAATGTAGGTGGTTGTTTCTTTTTGTATCCTGAGTAAGGCAGTGGATTTAAAATTAATCAAGATATATGCCACTAGAACATTTGTTCCACGTTTGTACGTACCGTCTTCTAAAAATGGTCGATGTCCACCCATATTCTGGGTAGTAGCATGCAGTTTTAACAATTTATTCCACATTAGAGTTCTGCTTAGCGAAAACTTGAAGGTCATTTTTGACCATTTGCATACTTTTCTTTTTAGATTCTCTTTGCGACTTTTGTAGAGACTATTGCCACTATGTCTCAATCCGTAAATGTTGTAATTGGTATCTTCAAAATATGTATTCATCAACCGATTCTATAGGCGGGGGTACCGGTCTGATTGGGAAAGCGTTGTCTGCAAAGTTAACCTCCATGAACATAAATATTCGTATTATATCCCGGTGCCCTAGAGGAAAAGGCGATTTGTCTTGGGTGAGAAATTTTTATTCACTTACTAATCCAATTTTTTTATTAGAAAACGATTGAAACATGCGGTCTACCAGAGGATACGCACGTTTTAGTCAATCTGGCTGGACGCACTATTGGTGAAATCAACCCAATGTTACTTTTTCCCAAGTTTGTTGTAATAGTGGAGCTTTTACGTAACTGATAGAAATAATCGGCAGTTTTTGGAAGAACTGCGCTCTAGTCGCATAGAAACTACCAAGATGTTGGTTAATAATCTTCCTACCTCAGCAAAAAAAATGATTAATTCATCAGCTGTTGGTACGATAAACCAAAATGCATTAACAGTTTCAATGCTATTTAGGCTTCTACAAACCTGACATGGATCGTTGCTATACGGAAGATGACCCTTATGTCGACTACGACTTCATAACCCGTCTGGTGCACGAATGGGAATCTTCTTGTGCTGGACCCAAACTCAGTGGTGTTCAATGTGTATTGCTTCGGACCGGTAAGTTGTTTTGTAGTGGTAAAAATTGCTGTAGTATTCTTGTGCGATTAAAATCGAAAATTTAGTTTTAGTTATTTTTGAACCAGGGTAAATTTTGCACAATAGTTCTAATTCTATAACCTTTCAAAAAATAGATTGTTATATGTGTGTATCTGAGTACGCATATTGCTTCTGTACCTTTGTTCATAAATTTCACAACTGTACATATGTTTACTTGGTTGCGTCTGAGAACAGCTTACAATGATTCGCACAATTATGTTTTATTACTTTCTCCAGGCAGCGTTTCTACGCACCGACTCGTCACCCATAAACAATCGCCTTTGAACCTCTTGTTCATTCTTTCAAAATTAGATCGAAACTGTAAATGATCGTCGGTGTGTTTAGAAACAACGTTTTGTGTGATTCGTGTATTTAAATTAAACAATTTTCAACCGTAGGTCTTTCCCGACATGTATTTCAAGCAATACCGGTGTAGTAGGTAGAATCGTTAATGGTTAGAATTTGATCGTTGCAACATGCCTTTTGGGACCCCTAAGGCTAATTTTGTCAAAATTATATGTTCCAAGTAGCCGGTTTTCTTTGTTTTAGGCGTTGTTCTTTCAAAAAACGGAGGCGCTTTGTCGAGCATGTACTGGCCACATCGTCTTGGTCTCGGTGGTCCTGTTGGGAATGGACGTCAGTGGTTCTCATGGATTCACATCGATGACCTCGTTAATCTCGTTTGCTTTCTCATTACGGACCCTTCTTGTACGAGCACGGATATGTAACAAAGCCGTATTACTAAGGTCAACCGTGATGCTTTAAAAAACCGACAGTTATTTTTAAAAGTTAGCACTTCTTTGCAAATCTAAAGAAGCCACTGATTGTTCGCACATAAAAAATCAACTATTTACCCTTTAAATAGTTGTCAGACGAATTTGGAGCCAGTTACTGTTGAATTCCGTTGCTTAGCTGCAAAGAAAACCTGTCATTTGTTTAAATATCACTTACTAGTGATCTTAGCAATTTTTCTAATCAACAACTTCTGTTTTGTAGAGCTTAACTATCCTCCGACCGATTCACGAAGCTCTCTTTGTCGCCTTATGCGCCACACAAGTGAAAAAAAAAGTTCGCTGGCATATGGCTACAGGGGAAATAAGTGAAGTCAATTTGCTACGTCAGTATCAAGGTTTAACTGTAGCCTTGGCACATTAAGTGACCTTAGTTTGTGCACGCTTGGTATCTTCGTTCCGTGTTTATGTCTCATTTAAAGAGCAATCACCCTTCCAGTAGCATGAAGTGGTACTTAACTTGTACATCGAACACAAGGCATATCCACTAGTTCTTTTGCACTGTCAACATAGTCACGGCAACTGTCATGTGAAATCTTCTTCTTCGTTACCAACGGAGGTTTTTCCAGTAGCCTTATTAACTTTCGCTGTTACCTTTTTTATTAAGCTGAATCACTCACAGGCCCAATAAATGCGACATCCCCGAATCCAGTTCGCCAATACGCATTTTCACGAGCCCTTAGTGAATCTGTAGGAGCTCCACCGTTAGGGGGACGGCTTCCGACACCACCATTCGTCATACGGGCGATGATGGGCCGAGAACGGGCGCCCTTGCTCCTCGAAGGACAACGCGTGTTGCCTGTCAAAGCACAGGCTGCGGGCTTCAAGTTTGCTTTTCCCACTTTAGAGGCAGCCTTGGAGAATATCTACGGCAAACGGCCTGGACCTGTACCTATTGACTAAGGCAATCAAGCTCAGGGTTCCTTTTAAAAATTATAACGTTACTGTTCTTACACATGAGCGAGAAACTTCTTATGTTTCTGTGTTTTTTAAGCAAAAACACGAATTTATGTATTGGAGATCATTCACCGTACGTGTATATCATAGGTAAACAAATCAATTTTTGGTGAGTACTGGATATGTTGAAAGTCCGAAGTGACCTGTCCGGTAGTAGTCACATTAATTTCCTAAACCTGTAGTGACTTTACAACCATCACAACGGTTGGCACACGACTGGCCGTATCTCTCAATGTTGAACATGTTACCGCGTTTCTAATATATGCCCTTGGATTCTCCCCTGTGAGCCATGTGCCTGTCACCAACTCTCCGGGCCTTTACTGGCCCTCTGTGTAAACACGGTGACGGGCCATACCAGTCTTCAACAAAACTTTAGGGATTGGTGATTCGTCAGCTCACGCAAATACTATGGACCCCCAGAGATTGTCGACCCACTACTTAATAAATGACACCCTTGTCACAGTGATTCTGTATTGAAATTTTACCCTCAAAGGATAAACGTGACCATTGGTCGTGGTCGATCTCGATGCATGGGATTGTCACAGCAAACGCTCCTCCCTACGCGGATGCAAGTTTGTTCACTAAGGATAGCTGTAGCAATGGGATCAATGCCTTAACACTCAGACCCAACTAATATTATCTAGTGATTAATATTAAATTATAATTTAGCAATCAGGCCACGGTGCCAAGACAATCCCTGAAATGCAATTCCAGTGATACAAGTGTATTGACAAGTCATCAATAGGTTGGGTTGCACATGGTTAACAAACACTCTTTATAAGGACACAGCGACGGATATTAAATGTGTGGAAAGACATAAATGCATGGGATCACAGCCACATACCGGGTAGAATGAGGGAATCGTCGCCCTGTGGGTGGTCTTGTCTGAGTAGGGAGCTGCAACTATTGTTAACTCGAGGCCTGAGTCGCCGAGGCGGCTTCCTGGCTCCGGACTCAAGGAAGTACATCCAACCCTGAGAGTCGATTATGTAAAGGGTGGTGTCCATGTGGTTTTGTTCTCCTTTTCCAGGATGAAAGGTCGACTGAGCGAAATCGGTTGGTCTTATGCGATTGGGCGAAGGTGGAGCAAACGCTAAGGCGGCAATGGGACAGGGAGAAGGTTGATCCAACTAGAAAAAAAAACAACTATAGGTTGAGTCTGTTAACTTTAAAATCCGGTGAGAAATAGGGCGCGACCTAATGAACGAGTTACAAGGCTCAGTGTTTTGATGTCTTTACTTCTTGATCGCAGCTATTGTTCAAGATGACTAGCAAAATAGTAGTAGGATGTGGCGGAAATATACTTAAATCTCAGGTGCCATTTTATTAGCGGACTTTATAAAGGATTCTGTCCGAAGCAGTCCATGCAATGTAATAGTTTACGTTGTCTAAAATCATGCGGTTAATGCCCGAGAAGTGAGTTTTTTTGCATGATCCACCAGTGGTAGATAAGGAAGAAACGACATTAAGTGGTTTACTTAATCCTGTATATTCCATTCTTAAAACACCCAGTTGAAGGAGCCTCCTTTGCAGCATAAGAAACAGAAACGATGATTCTGAATTTTAGAAGTGACAAAAAATCAATCTTGATTTTCCTTACGCCTATAGTGTGATCACCTAGAGATTACAAGCTATATCCCCACAAGTTCGCGAATCTGTTCCATATAAGGTGACTTCGAATGGACAAGCGACTCAGTCTGCCAAATGTGGTTAATAGCACTACATAAGCTCCACTAAATATTTAACTTTTGGATAGCAAATAATAAAATCAAATAATAGGATCAAGGTTACATGGAAAAACGCTCACGAGCATTATGGAGACCGTGTCGAGGGTCCAACTACTGAGCCAAACGAGGCATCCATTTGGACCACCGATCAGAATGCAACCCACCTCGCAGCCCTGACTGTCGGAGAACAGAATTGGCAGGGCCGCCAGGGGGTTTGGGATACGAGAAAAGGTTGTGCTTGTGGGGAAACCCGTCTCTGCTTGGAAGTCGAGCAACCTGCTGCAACTCTGACGACAGTCAGCTGTGAACAGGCCGATCCAAATCTCTGAAAAAAAAATGTTTTTTTTTACCAAGTAGTAAAGTAGCACGTCTATAACCACGTACAAACGCGGGAGAGATTTAACGCAACTTGATTTGATGTTACGGAAATGCGTCTTAAATAAATAGCGGAGAAACGTTTTGCATAAAGTAAATAAAGTTCAGTTTTTTAAGGAAAAATAGGCGGGTACCAGTTGTCCAACGATGACAAGGAATGCCACACAGATGGAATCATGGCAATGCAACCGGATACGTTGAATCTTCGCTTTCTACGTCAAGACCACAAGGGGGTGATGGATTAAGGGCATCAACATGTATTGCTATTAAATTTCAACAGTACATGAGTGCATGTTTCTTTGCAAAGGAATAAAGCACGTTTATGAAAAGTTCTTGTTATCTCATATCCCGAAAGGAGAATGTTCCGTTTTTACGAAAATGTACCGTTAAGTCCACGAGGTCCAGCCCTAGCCACCAGAAGGTCGCCTGACGCCTGATCGAATGCCAGGCCACAGACACCCATAAAATCGTCACTGCTTTCATCCATATCCAAACGAGTAATGAAAGCTGTTGAAGCAGTGTCCCAGACGATCACGCGGCCTTGTGCGTCTCCGCTTGCAACTAACCCGTGCTGGGGACAAGAGGCTATGCAAACAATTCGAACTCCAATGTGCCCAATTAAGCATCGCCAACCAACTGATACACGGAGAAAGGAAGACCAGTGTTGTCGACAGGCATGATGATGGAATTCAGAGTTCATCAATAAACGTCGTTCGTCGGCTGTAGCATATTCTGTCAAGTCGTCATCAGTATCTGACAATGAGTGAGATGTGGTCAAATTTCGATGGCGTGCCTTTGGGGAAAAAAATTAAGTCGTCTTAAATGCTACAAAAGTATATGAAGTAAACCCTATAAGTGAAAATAAGCAAAAAAAATGAGTAAAACAGAACAGTATATTACAATGCTTCGGCAAGTGACAAATTACAAGTAATCAAACCTGGTGTTTGTCGCCACTGCCGCTGCCAATAAATCCGCACAAAAGCTCCTCAGTAGAGACTGTTCGCACAAATAAACCACCGCCAGCGGTTCCTATAATAAGGTGAAGCTGAGAACTGCAAGTCAGAGGCCTCGTCCCGACGGAGTGAACAACAAGAAAAGCAGAGGCTTCCTCTCCCACAAATGGCAACGGAATTGTCGTCGCATACAACTCAGCAGCGTCGACAAAACGCCTAGCAAACAAGCTGATAAAATTTGGGGAAAGCGAGACTTTGACGAGCAGCAGAGGATAGGAGGGGACTTGCAGAAGAAACAATGAAGCAGAGGCCACCGTCACTAGGATAGTCCAGTGAGAGAGGGATTGGTCTGAACAGGTGCTGAGAAGGCGGTAGGTCTGAGAACCTCCCCGGAGGTTGGCATACCAACTGATGCCAAGCTAATAAAAAGAAAAATGTTTGCTCCCTGATTACCTAGCGTTTTTCTCAAAATTTTGAGAAAAAGGGGGATATATCATTCAAAAAAATTACAAATCAATCAAAACGTAATCCTATCAACTACGTTTCAAAAATCGTGACAAGAATCTCGCCCATATTATACTCCAATCAAAAGATTGCAAAAATGGAGAGGCCTAAATTGCCAAGACAAAGTAGTTGAACACGCCGGCATCAGACGTTATACTCGAGTGATGCAAAGAGGAAGCGTTAATAGCTGTTCAATCTTTAAGGTTGAGAGGTTTTGGGGAGGGCACTATTTGGTCACACCATCTCCACAGTCCCCCAACTGACACCCCAAATCTGTGTAAATCCCTCCTCATCCTTCAGATCAGGGTGACCCAAAACTTATGCAAGCCGTAATTTCTGACATGTCCCACGGTTTTTGGCTGAGACAGTAAAAGCTCTCCGTATGAAGGTATTTTGGCGGTGTTGACTCCCTTAGATAAGGGGTCCATTTAATTGCACTCGAGACGTGGGTCTTGAACCAGTAATCGTAAAGGTTGTAAAGTTACTGATATTTGGGGACATCTTTACAGTTTAAGGACAGCCATGACTACCATATAATTTGGTCGACAACGCTGCCATCTTTTCCAGCCAATTCGATAAAAATATGAGCTTAATTTAATATGACTTTGAATAATGAGTACGAACGATAAAATATACCAAGTATATTGAACAAAATGTGTTTGCGTGCATGATTTACACGGTTTAAATGTCTGCAGTTAAACTATTACAGTATAATCTACTGAAATACTTGAGGTGGTAAGAACATAATAAAGACTTGCCATTTTTGAGCAGGGATTTCCAGCCCACTTGCCCCAATGCAGACCCCTCACCGTGTCCAGAGGAGCGCCAGCAGTGAGTGGTTTCACGGAGGTAGATACGGACACATTTTGACTGGGGCATTGTTCGCTTACACCTGACAAGGGGGACTTAATTGTGGAGATCGGTGACCCCAGCGTGTGTTGTGGCATTTGCACCAGATCTGCTTCCTGGGTGGAAAGTGCCCCCCTGTGCGCGAGAATGAGCCCGATTAATCTAGAGAGACCCAAGAAGTCGGGGCGTTTACGGCTACCCGGTTTGGTGCTCACATAGTGAGAAATGATGCGACGGGGATGCGGGTGGTTGGGGAAGAGTTGTCGAGGCGCCTGACCATAGTTACGAATCATAGATTGCACGGCAGCACGTCGCAATGGATCCTCAATGGCGTCAACATCGACTGCACCAAAGTACGTCTTAATGGAGGGAGGGAAGAAAACAAAAAGGTTACAAACACACATACAGATGAGGAAATTGATCAAACTTAAAGATTATCATTAGAATTTACAAAATCCAGTGATGGACTTCAATATATCAGACTGGTGGAGTGCTAAATAATACGGTAACATTCTCATTCAATGTACAACGAAACATACCGAATAAAAAGGGTTGACCATGTCTTGTTAAAGAGTGCACGGATGGATTTTCAGACTTGGATTTTGTTTACGCAACACATCCATATCTATCAGCCAGAGTCGCTGAGGCAATTACATTTATTTGCTTTCGTCTCTTTGTGGAAACTGATGGCAACGCAGTGATTGGCACAAACACTATCCCGGAAGATTATTAAATAAATGCAAACAAAATTCCTACAAAATCGCCCTAAATTGGCATGGTAAATTTCTTCGAGGTCTACAACTACCCACGTTAAGCCAGAAATGGGATTTGACAGAATAGAAACTACTGACGAATGGATGGTAGAGATTGATTGCTCGTTCACCCTGACGTCCGGTCTGTTTATAGCCAAAAGTAAGGTCGATCCAATCGGGCAAGTTCGCAGTGACGTAGGGGCTCTCCAAGGCGGCCCGATTAACGAGGACGAACAGTCTTGGGTCACCCTTGGCCCATCTACAGAATTAATTATCAAACGCAAACAGGAATGGTAAGATTGGCCTTTGCGCAACGTGGTTAATAAAATTACAAGAAAATACTTGAGCCATGAGAACATTCCTGTGCAACACGGCATTTAACAGACGAAACAAGTTAGACAGTGATCCGAACCCATAGATCTGTGACAAGTACTTTATAACTCAAAAACAGCCATAATATTTAAGGCAAAAGCGAACAAACGCTCGATGTGGTTAATTCGAGGTAAAAAAATAATCTAGAAACCCGGATAAGAACGCGGACACCCAGGAGTAAACAAGGGGATATGAGACAATTGAGTCTTAGTCTTCTAATTTGAGGCCTAAAAGGTTGTGCTAATGTGTAAGATTGCGCCAGCTTAGAAATTACAGGCGTACAAGAGGCATTGTTATTTAGTATATTTCAGATGACAGATATGATATGGTCAACTAAATATGAAATTGTGGGTGCGATAAAAGAGTGCACATGGTGAATGGGGCAAGCGCAGGCAGAAGGGCAGGAATGAATTTAAACAATCTGCTACACTATAAATAATGCCTCAAAGGACATACGGGGGCAACTTAACCGAATCAACAATTTCACCATCCTGTCGAACACCAAGTGCAAAGTTTTCCCAATTCACAAATATGTCTGGCCTGAAGTAGAATTCTGGAACCAGTTCCTTGACGAATGCTACAGAATTGGTAGCCATTGCCCATTCAGAAGCGACCGAATTAAAGAGCCGATCGGGGGCGTCAAAATTACCATCTGAAAGTTGAATCAAATTTGATCTAACAGATGTTGTATGAAGGAGGTAGAGAGACTCCAAAACTAGGGTATTTATGTAGATATAAAAAAAACTTTCGACGTGCTGACAACCGTAAGCAGTTAAATTAGATTCCGCAATATCTGCCCATACAGTAAGATCCCTTAGACTGTGTTAAGGTAAAAAAGAGCTTCATTAAATCCTCTCCACGTCGATTGGACAGCATGGTGAAATTAAGCACACAGGAATCCACGGCATTACCTTGAAATTGGATGAGAAGGAAGGCATAAGGGATCAATCGACAGAGGAAGTGAAGAATAATTGCCTCGTTTGAGCAGAAGGATGGGTAATGGAAAGCAGGACAGAGTAAACTCCGCTGATTCTCATCCCCAGAGTTCTCTGCTTCGAAAAGTTGAGTGTTCAGATCTGCATAGTGCCTTAAAACTGCTTCAGCACGAGCGTCAGTCTGAACTGAGATAGGCCGATCTAGTCGCCGAAAACTCTTGGACGTCATCGTCAAATCGAGTATTGGGCTCTCAAAATCCTAGTTGGACAAATAACCGCGTTGCTTGATATACGTTGGGGAGAAATATATCTTACCATGAAACAAAAGGCAGCACGAACCGCAAGGAAGTAAAAGTAGACGTGACAAATTAACAAGCTCGGTCCAATTTTCAAGAGCAAAAGAATCATTATCAGCGAACCGATTTAAGTCCCACCGAATGAATCCACAAAAATTTGCTACCCATAATCTAGACAGTTACATCAGTTGTAATAAGGCTGTCCTCCGTGAAGAAATAAATCGGTAATTCTCGATACGACGGAGCTCACCGTTGAAACATATTTAGAGATCAAATACAGTTTCTGATGTAACTATAAGTATTGCTCTAGGAGCAACGATTTAATTAAAAATGGCAGAAAACTTTAGCTGCAATCCTAATCGTATTCAGTAGAAGTATCTTTATTTCAATATACTCTGAAACGCGGATTGAGACGCGACGTGTCCATTAAAAGGCCTCATTTTTCAAGAAAATCAAGGTAATAACAATTAGTGAATGACTTAATAATTTGTTGAGCACGAAGTACCGTTTAATGTGAGCACCTATTTTCGAAAAAGGAAAACGCACACGGACACAAACCCAATTGCGAGAGAAGAAGTTTTATAGTTGGAACTACACCACAGTGTTTACCAACAAACGGTTTTAAGGATAATAATACTAAATATTATAGTCAACATATTCAATTTTAATATTAAATGATACATCGGTGGAATTTGTTCATGATTTGGTTCAATTCATTTTTGCATAAATTTCGGCTTATGCTGCATGTTTTGCAGATACTTCAAAATGCATTTGGTCTCAGTTACGAAAACCAGCAAATTCACATTAAAATTATGCCCTCAAAAATTATCCTTTTCTTTTTGATAAAAACGCATACCACACTCACGTTCGTCTCGAAATTACACATTGTTGCAATAATCGGAACCTTGAATTATCATTAAAAATACTTCCTAAGAGCAAGGCAAGTGATTTCGTCCACTTACGGCAATAACCCATGGGAATATGGGGTACTGAGTGAGGTCGTTGTAAGTCCTTCCAGCTGCAGTGTTGAGCGCCATTAAGTAGTCGAAATTCGACATCTGACCTCGTATCCAGGAGACTTGAGCGTCCAGCAGGCGAGAGCGCATAGCTGGCCCAATAAAAGGTGTTGTGAAGGGTACCACAAGAGCATCACAGAGGCCACGCAACGAGAGCATTGGATAGCGACCGGACCTGACGGATGAATTAGGCGTAAAAAACGTCATCCGTCCACCCTCGACGCGCCACCACTCGGTGCGTGGACGAGGATGAAGCAGGGCACAGGCGTCGACCAAGCTTATAACGAAATTGTTTCGCTCCTAAGAGGTGAGTAAAACGCGTTGTGAAAAAGGATTCCGATTTGGTTCTTGATAGGATGGTCAGAGGGATAAAATATAGATTAAAGCACCACTGTAGCACCACACACTGCCAATCGAGGGGCTGCACCCAGAAAATCGTTCATTATTAAAAAAAAAAAACAAAATAAGCTTTAAATTAAGTGATTCAAAAAGAATAGCTGGTGGCAGCAAAAAAATTGATATGTCCACTGTCCACACCCCGAGAGCTTCTCATTGATTTTACCAATACTCCTACAATAAATGTTAGACAAAAACGGATCCTGTAAATACTCAGCTCACCTTAGTGGATCGAAATGCAATCATTAAGGGAGGGACGCTGCACGTTCCCTCAAAGAACAATTCCACAGCCAGGTCACGGAGCTCGAATCTCCTCTCCTCCACTCGAGAGATTTCATGTAGGGGACAGGTTATTACCTCACTTTGATCAACATCACAGCCGAGACCGTGAATAGGAGCATTGGTACCACCACAAGTGATTTGCTCCTGAAACCGAGTTAAAAAATATACCTGAGATTCCTACGACTAGCCAAATGTAACGAAAAGAAAACTCACGATAACCAACAGTACCTAAGACCTACTTAGCATCAATGAATGTTCATGAATTCTTCAAACGAAAAACAACCAAATAATGGGAAGTTAACAAATAAACATGGCACCTGCGGTTGTCATCCCACATTCTACGTGAATGGCATTCTCCATACAGCAACAAGTTTACTGTGGGAGCATGTGTGTCTGAAGTACGGCGGAAAAGTGCATTAAGGTTATGATGGACAAAGTCACGTTTGCTACTTACCATATTGAAATCTGATGGACCAGCGTTATTAAGAACCAGATGGATCCAATTGGCATCCAGCGTGAGGTCACCGTTTAGCGGAGCAGGATTGGAGATTTCAATTAATTGGCAAGGCCAGACACCAAGACACTTTCCTGAAAGGGCTACTGAGGGTGGTGAGAAGAGAGCTTGAGAAGAAGGATGGAAGTGGGCACGTGGTGTCAATTGGCATTTTTTCCTCGCCTGTCCTCTTAGGGGAGTGCATGCGTACCGTTGCATCATCAGGCCAGTAAGGGGGTGATCTTTAAGGTGCTGGCCTATTCAAGAGAGATCTTGAGATATCAGGGTTATTCATGAAAGAACATACGAAAAAGTTCACCGAATGCACTTTTTTACCACATCATTTCCTTATACTTTCTAATTTATACTTTAGAGTCATGTGTGGCTCATTAGCTACCATTTTCCATTGTTCATGTGTATGTAATTGCATGCTGTCACATTTTGACTAAGAAGAAGGATAATTAACCTCATTGACATCACTGTCAGGATTAGCTACCATCAAACGGAGTCATTTTCTCAACTATACCTCATCCAAACTTGTGAAGGAAGAAAACAACATCATCCTGTTCACGTAAACGCGTTATTGACTATGGTAAATTAGGATACCACCTGAACTGATGCAAATAATTGCAATAACAACATAACTAAGTGCAAAACTTTGAGGAGATGTAGAATGATGGAGCATCACAATGGCCGATTTATACTTACCAAGGGTGCTTGTCGATGAAACTCTCACAAAACGGTCGTCAATCCACATAATTGCTGGACGCCTCCTACAACGCTGTCTTGACTCGGTTTCGAAAGCGTCTACATGCGAAAAGGCGGGCTTTGAGACATCGTCACAAAAGACGGAGCTTAAAAAAAGACAAAAACCTTTGTCCAAAGCAAAGTTGGTAGACCAGAAAGTGAGGTAGGGGCAATGATCCTACCATTCATGACTCAAGCATCCTCCTAACTGCATCCAGTAGAACGGCGCCATCACAGTGAGTAGGTGCTTGCGTTGGGAGACAAGAGTTGACCAGCGGAGTTGGCCCTTCTCATTAGCCTCACTTAAAGGTGACAGCCAATAGGATTGGTCTGAGTACTGAGAAACTAAGTGATACGGCTCAGCAGCTTCATAATGTTCAAACTGGCGTGAGACCGGGATTGGCGAGGAACTTCGTTGAATTTGAAAATGTGAAAGCGGATTGTGTATCAGCGACTATGACGAACGATAAACCGTAGTCAGTGGATTTATAACAAATAAATATGGTAAATGCAGAAAATATAGACAAAGTCATTGGAACATGAAAACACCGATTAAAGTGCTGCAAAACTCATTGCAAATGCTGCAACTCCGCAATGCATAAAAATTGCAGAAACAAAATCGACAGCTTTTTTTCTGGACCGGTTGTGCACTTGTAGGCAAACAGAGTAAGCTTACAGAAGGCAGAGAGTCAGTTGACACGGACTGTAGTCGACTGAAGACACGTGGATTAAGGTCTACACACAGTTTCTCCACCCATTCAAGTAATTTGCTCACGGCATCTGAAGTCCTTTCGTAAGCGCGATAGTTTCTCTCACAACAGGTGATGGCATCTGAAGTAGGCGATTCGACATGGCGGTGGGCGAATGAATCACTATCATTTCCTTCTTGGTGCCACCAAACTAAGCATGGCTGACCACATGGAATAGGGAGAATTGCATCAAGCATCTGAAGATTTTTCTTGACTTCGAGAAGCAACTGGAAATAAAAAGAACAGGTAGGTAAAAATAGGAAAAAAAAGTATGACAGTTCCATCAAAGTCAGGCTTTGCGAGGTACCATGCAAGTCTAAAGCGGAGCTATCAGGTTTGTGCGAAGTCAGTATCAGAGTAATAGAGCATAACAAGTTAAATGCGATTGCTAAGTGAGCGGAATCTCCAATAAAACTGAAAAATCTTTTCTTCACGAATATGATAAATGATAATTTAGCAGTCGATTACCGATTGCCTTTTACAAACACATAATTCCAGCGCAAAATTTACAACATGGTTTTACAATGAAGATTTTATGAATTGAAACAAGTACCAATATCATTTGACACACAAACGCTACATTAAAAACGCATTTTATTTGCAGTAACATGACATGGACCAGGTTATGCTAAGTATACTTGGGTCTCAGTTTCATAAATTAGGGCTCGGGATTCGTTACTAATTTCCTTAGCATTCAAAATATTAAATATTCAAAAGAAGGCACATACATGAGCATCAGCTTTTCCACTGATGATATTGGGTTCCTGGGCTAGAAGAAGCAATAGCCAATGACCAGTCACTGAAATTGTCAAGTTTTCAACGAAGGCCTCGCACCAGGCATGCAGAAGACGTAGTAGACAGCCCGAAAATGTTACGTAAATGATGTTTTTACCCTTTCGCTAAAAGGTCACAAGCAAGGTAACTGAAAGCATGAAAGGGGCCACAATGATACAAACGATTATGAACAAGGAAGTCGCTGTTTCGAGTTCGCAATCTGAGGCATTTTAAACAGCCAAAAAAGCACTGGTTTTGTTTGACTATTTATTCTAGCGACTGCAACGCGATATTATGAGTAGCTGAGAGCATTGTAGGATCCAATTTTAGCACTTATTCCAAAGTGCAATGGTTGTAGCTTGGATCTACAAATTAGAGGGTGCTTTAAACAGAGCATTTAAATTGAATTTGAATATATTTCGAGGTTCTTTCAGGTATCTATAACTCATGACATTGCTCAGAATTTCTCGATTTGACACGAAAAGACACGTGCAACTAACAAAAAACTCGATTAGTATTTCATTATTTTCGTCTTTAACAAACAAACATACGAAGCGATTAGTGAGAGGAACCATACATTTTATTACATCAAACCGGGTATCACTGAGTAACTAAAATGGCACGGCAATTGTGCGAAATCGCCTTGAGTGAATTTCGGTCAATGCTGCGGTCTACCCATGTCCTAGGTGAATCTGCACGGGTAAAACATCCTTTAAACTAGAATCCAGTTTGAATATTGCACAAGAACATACCATGGCGTGAGAAGTTGAATTCACGAAGAGTGCTATGATAGATTTCTCCAGAAGACGAATGGTATTTAACTGAGGACAACCAGCGATTGGTGGATCAGCACTGAGTGGGTTGATACGAAAGTTCCCCCCTAAAAATCGAAACTATTAGTTGAAGGATGCAATTGGAAAATTATTGAATGATTAAGTAAGTCCATTTGAATGGAGTAAGTCACTTTAATAGGGTGAACAACGAAAGGGGCCGATAAGCCACAATATTTTTTTTAATTGGCATTCAAAAATAGTGATGCTAACACCAAGTACATTAAATTCTCACTTTCAAAAACAGAACAGGGAATTTTAAATTCAGGTTTAGGCGAAAACACACCACACAGATGCATTAACTCGACAAATTGAAGAGCCCATGGTATAAACTATTATAAGCCACTCCTTAGACTTAAGGAGTCAAAAAACAGATCACTCGTACCCTTATACATAAGAGTGTCCACAGCAATATTGGCGGTCCAATAGAGTTGGGACTGAATGTTTGTAGCATCAGAATGTCCTAAACGAAGTTGCATGGTGGATTAAAAAAATTAGCGCGCATTAAGCTACGTAGGATGAATCACAATGCACAACAGATACCGTCGTTAATTTCACGACAAATGCGGCCGAGAAGCGAGAGAAGGGCGCGGAGTAGCATCTCACGGACAATGCACGTTCGATTGGAAGCTAATACAAGGCATAATGAGGAATGGAAAGACAACGCATGATATCGGGTGAATAATGAAATCAATCACACAATCGAAAGGTCCTAAACTGGAGAAAGTAATTGAGCTTCAACATACCATTGCTGTCGGAAGAATCGCCATCGAAGCCACCACCTCGTAAATGCCGTATTGTAGCCACTACATCTTTAAACTCAATTTGATTTTCAGTTGCGGAAATAGCAGAACCCAAAATTCGAGAAATCAAGTTGCCAATTTCATGGTGCCTTTCATAATTGACATTAGTGGCACCATCGAAGCACGTAGATTGCAGCAAAAAAGCCATTTCTACCATAATGTTCAACGCAAACGGATCCCGCAGGGAGGCCATTACAACTCGATTCACCTAGAGCAATTAGTGTGTTATTTCAAAAAGGAGGACCGACCTTTGCAGAGGCGAAAAAGCTCGCGAGTCTGTCCAAATGGACCTTCTGCAAGTTAGTCACTGCTGTCGAAAAAACGGAGTCATTTGGCCGTTCATTCGAGACAAGTTGAAGAGCTATGGTATCCACTAAAGAAGACGCAAGTAACGATAGGGCAATGAGAACAGATGTCAGATGCTTTTCTCCATCCAATGACAAGAAGGTAGAAGAAGTTGCAAGCTGCCCTATGCCGTCAGTTTCATGAGAAGCCACAGTCGAACCTACCTAAAGGGTGAAATCGCATTACAATTTTAACTAAAGCAGCAGTGAAAAAGATCACTTTTATTCGACTTCAGGCGATCAAAAGGGTGGATGCTGCCTAAAAGTGATATTAGGCATCACGATATTTCAGATTAGTCTAGTGAAAAATACCTCGAATTACTTCCTCTAAAATGAAGTTCGGTTGATTTAATGGACCAGTACCCATTAAGTTGATTCAAATAATAATGACATATTGGCAAATTAAATTTCAACGAGATCAGAATAATGGATGTTGGCAACTTCCATGTCGAACATTGGGCTTTCAAAGGACCCCAATTTAAAATCAATGGTGTACTGCTCGACTGAAGAATGAAGCCTTGTTTGATTAAAGGCGTTAGTACAGGTTTTCGGGTTAAGAAAAACAAGATGGGTTTTCAAGAACTCGAAGCTCTTGCCTAACCGTGCGTTATAGTTGGTTCTATTTATCAGAGAACTAAGGCTCAAATGCCTTGCCCGAAGTAATTATGATAAGTATACAGCTCAATCATCTACTGAGTAACGCATTGAAATCGGAACACAAAATATGAATTATGTAGCACTAGCTAAAGGGTAATCATTTATCGAAATTATCCATACAAACGATACACATAGTTGTAACTACGATTGATTATTTTTCGATAGCTGTCGTTTATTTATATTTCAGATAATAATTATAATGGATTGTTCAACAAAACTAAGAATAATTTTGCACAATAGAAACTGAAAACTAAAATAAGGTTCAGTTATTTAGAAAACAATAAAGGGCAATTACCAGTTGCATATTAGGCTTCTCAAATTCGAGTACCAGGTTACACGCGGCGGCAACCAACGCGGGTGAAGTTAATGCAATATGTGCGAATGACACATGACTGCATTCCTTTTCCTTAAATGACAAGCCCACATTATGCGAGCAATCGTGAGTCCATTGTACCTGTGTCGTCGACGAGCAACATGGAAAGGTGATAAAAGAGGCTTCGGTAAGAAATTGTTTCGCTAGTATTCGGTCATAGTCGGCCCCGTTAAGCTTTCCAAGCGCATTATTGTGTCCGTGACGAGCAGGTGTACTGAGCAAACTGCAGTACAAGGAGAGCGCCTGAATAAAAATAATGAAATAGTGGGTGCATTAGTGCCGTAGCGGCAAAGCTGACCAGACATTAACAGGTAACAACAGCTTGCACAAACTCCGTATACACAAGGACCTAAGTTAGTGGCGTTGTGATTGTGTGAAAACACTGGTCTGTGAACTGATGAGGGTTCTGGAGAAGACCCAGCTACACCAACCAAGTTGTTTGGACACACGATACGTCATTTAACAAAGTACCCAAAGGGGGTCACTAAACATGTATGCGGAATTATGCATCGTAATATTTATAGTCTGATCAAAACCACAAACCAACACTACAATTTTTATTGAGATAATAAAATTGATAACTGCAATGGTCAGCGATCTACAAAGATATACCTTAAAGTTGGTATTTATCAAATTGAAGCTCCTGTGCATAATGACCGCGAAGTGACTAATTAGCCTCGCACATCGACTTGAACGAAGCAAAATCGAATAAGGTACGAGTACGGCTTTTCCATAAGGCATTGAACAGGCATGATGTAGGTAGGATCGAAAGTGGTTAAGAGTTTGCAATCACTTCCTTCAAATATGAATCATACTTTGTCTGTTGACTGTGGACCTTTAGTACTCGCTTCACGTACATGATCAGAAAAATTAACATTCATTTTACCTATCCCCGAAACACAAGACCAAGCGGAGAATTTAACGTTACCAGCTACAGTTGTTGATGGTTGTCGTGACTGTCGTCTTTTGTTGTTTTAATCATTACGCATAGATTTGTACTTTAGGTTTTGCTCAAAATCAGCTCCATGCATAACTCCGCCTCAGTGCGACGTCAACCTTTCACTGTAGGATTTGAGACTGGTTTACACAGCAAAAGATTAATTTTCGAGCAATTTATGTGCTAATACCTTATTGGTGGTTAAGTAGGATCAATCACAGATGGTTTCCATGACTTTCGGCTATGATGTGAAAAATTGATAGAAAAAGATAATCTGTGTGAACTGCACGAAAATTCCGATAAACACAGTACATTGCATGGCTCCAACTGTTAACATATGTAATATATGTGTTGTTATATATTTAAAGCATAACATAGCATCAGTCAACATTACCAACCATAACAGTAGTAATTTCATAATAATTTTGATTAACATTTCCGTCAAAAAAGACAACAGAATTGCAGATGGGGTCGTTTGCCTCAAATCCTCCAAAAAACAAATTGTTTATAAATGTCATACCCCAGAGAGACACGCAAATGAAAAAATTACTATTTGTTAAGAATAAAAAGTGTTTCGTTCAACGAGAATTTGGTCTTTAGTGGATGTTTAACATTTTCAAATGCATAAAGTGCAGTTCTGGGAAAACTTTGGTTAATTCACAGATAAATATGCAAGTCTGGTAAATCATGTAGCAAGACTTTACTATATAAGACTATTCACAAGAAAATAATTGAGCTGCAGAGATTTTGACTTCGCCTAAACCCACAACTTGGCTGGTAATCAAGAACAGAATATGATGCCTTGTAAATTATGAAGTGTTTTGCTCCGCAAAAAACATTTACCTGCTCTCGAAACCTAACACAAGGATGACCAGCGAGGTGATAAACGAGCCAGAACGGAGGGGCAGAAAGTATCGAATTCGATTCCGAATCAATACAAAATTCCTGTTCTCTTCTTATTTGCCAGAACTCGACAAGACAGGACAGAATTAGGGCAGAAAGACGTCGCCTTTGAACGATCTGCATTGACGAAATTACAGGCGTTTGTTGACCAATGCCACAAAGTGTATCACTGTCTCCGGGATGGTGTGTTTCATCTCTGATTGATAGAAAAATGTCCATTGTTGCGGAACCTATAAGGGCACTACGCGATAATTCCATGTTTCTTAACAGGAAAGTACACTAACGTGAGAAAAAACAGACAATAAATGTTGGTATAAATCATGAGCCTCAATGTATGCATGAAAGGTAACCGAAGCCAGTTTTGATCATACTAAGGAAACTTCACAGGCGTAATTCAATTCTATACAAACCCTTTCGTAATTTCGATTCACTAATAACAATGCGGTAGAGACCCTGGGTAAATAACCATGCACATGTTTACAGCCATGAAACCACAGGTCTAAAAGTTAGTGTTTCCTCAAATTCAATCGAACAGCTCCGATTAAAACGTAAGCAAAATGATCATAAGAGTTGGAAGTCTGCTTAATAACCACAATACCTCTCTCAGGGCATCTAATTAAAATTAATAAAGCTCGCTTTACCCATCAATATAAAGGACGTGCTACTGGAAATTCACCAATACCTACTTGTGCGAACACTACACTACTAAAGATCTGGAGAAATTCAGTGCTATTCACAATAGGGCTGCAGAGAATCTTGTTCATTCACATCCATCAAACTCAGCGCCCCCCTTTCACAGCGTGCCCGTCAGCCGCGCGGATCCGTCTGCTCACAGCCCTGTGCGCGTACCGTCCATGTTACCCGTTTCACGCATCTGGCCGTACAGTCATTTGTGCTCTAACTTGTTCACTCGATGTGTGTGGGTTAGCAATTACACCAATCATGCACGATTTTGAGCACATGACGCACACGACAATATACCTTGGTTAAGGCATTTTATAAACGGTTGAAGAATGGTGATTCGTGTATTAGGGAAAAAACAAATGGCTGTTGAAGATTGTAGATACAAATTTACCTAAATTGTTGTCGTTTTGAAACATCGCATATATTATATGAAGAAAGTCGAATTGGTCTCAAGAACAATTTACAAATTGACATTGTACACCCTAGTGCTAAGTCATTTTATGAGATCAGTAATTCAGTCCTCAACCACTTCCTAGCACACGATTTCAACTTTTTAAAGTCATAACGGGTGGAAGCGTGAATTGGCATGGTATCAGAAAAATGCTACCAATGGATGCCTACTAACCATTCATGCGTTATATTCCTTCCCCTAGAGATATTTAACGTTGTGTGGCCAAAACGGAAAGATATCGTTAACTGTAAAATGCTCACTCGATGAAATTGGATCAGAGGCCATCGATTTCATATAGATGTCTGGTAAACTCATACATAGCCTAGAGGACGAGTGAGTATCTTCGCCAACATCAAGGCCTACAAAATCCGCCAAATTGTGACAAGAGTCAAAAAGAGTAGATGGTTTATAAGAACTCATTTGGTCATTCTCGCGGAGATTCTCTCTGAATTTAGCCAAAGTTTCGGCCTCAGCTCTACTAGCTCCCTCCAGAGCAAGAGCAGGCTGTAAAGAGACCCAGGGAATAGGTGTGGAGAGAGTTAATAGCGTAGCAGGCGGTGTTTTGTAAGATGTTAATGTTGATGCAACAGGTGAACGTTCGTCGTCTTCCAGGATTTCGGCATCTTCGTCATCTTTGAATATCGATTGGGTTGGGGTTGAGTCGAAGAGACCAGACATCTGAGAAACACATTCTAGTAATGGAACAAGTAGTGAGTTTAAGTACGTGGGTAATGCAGACTACAATTAAAACAGTAAGTTTTACTGTGTCGAAGAAGGTACTTTCAATGTATAAACGAAGTTATTTACGCACTCCCTAGACGGATGGCCTCTAATAATAAACAGCTTGTAGGGCATATGTATTACGTCCTTAGCTCAACTAACGTTATCAGAAAGGAGATGAAAAACAAACCAATTGGCATGGCGGACTTTACTATAAAGAGGTTCACCCAAAAATTCTTGAACACTGGTATCCTACCTTTTCCAAGGGACGCTTGGCCGAAACTAGATGTCAATGTAGTTGACAGAACAAATGCCTTGTGGACCTGAGCAAGAGAGACGAGGTCTATTCTCGCTGATATTTGACGATCCTTAGCACCGAAGGCACGGGTAGCTGCGGAGTGATATAGGTCCGGATCGACGGAGACGAGTGTGTGAAGCAGAGAGGTGAGCAAAGGGACAGATGAAGGACAAACGGCTAACCGTTTCGATACTAGGCGACCCAACGCCGCAAGAGATGCTTCGAACTCTTGAGGAATTCCGGTGCAGTGAAGAAGTTCGTCCGATGTAGAAAAACAGAGCTTGTGGTGAAAAAATAAAGTGAGCAAGGTACTTTAGAAACGGGGTCATTTAGGATCTCTCATCACTTTCGCCAACGAATAATAGATTCACCAACGGAAGTGGAAGTAGCTATGCATGTAACACTTGTTTATGGAAATTTAGAAACACTTTCCACGGTCGCTAAACCACCTCAACACGGTTTGACAAAGTTCAGGCTAATCCAATATTCCGCTGACGTGATGAAGCAAAAGCGATTCAGCTGAGGCAGGTTTAATTTGTCCAATAAACCGAATTTGGCAAGACTAGTTCGACAAAATCTCAAGCATTATTATGGTTCTTCACGAAACCCTTAGTGGTAAATTATTGGAAAGATTTGGTTCACACAAAAAAGGTAAAATAGATAAATGAAGCTACTGACCAAATACTTACGCGAAAACCAGTCAAAGCAGTTTCAACCAAACCAAATCTATCACAGGTGGCGATATTGCAAGCCAAAACATGGGTGTTTCTGACGCTTTTAGTACAGAAACATTCGCTTAAGGAGTTTAGGAGTGCAGGAAGACCTTCGGACGACGAAAACGACAACTGACAGACCACCAGTTCCGGGTCCGTTAAGAGATAAGTTTGCTCATCGTTGGACTTGAGACACGAATACTCGGTCAGCACCTGTGAGAAAATGTGAGAATTCTAAACAGATATACTTTCTCGGCCTCAGACATGTGCATGAAAAAGTTCGGAATGTTTGTGTTAATGTTCATTACGTGGCGTGGCACAGGCTGTGATACAAGAGATTCGCGATGGGGAAAACACGATGGCAAAGGATATCGACCATCTATTGCTAACGTAAAAAGTTAAACCCTGTAGTCAGAGCTACTCTTTGAGTGTCACACACAACTTCAATGGTTAGCAGGACATACCCTTTGAAATGGCAATATAGTTTTTCTTGAGCATAAACGATTGATTAGGGAGGACAAGAGGCATAGACCGTAGGTCGCTAAGTGCACGCCATTGCAGTCACTGTTCAAAGAAGACGGGTTTAGCTCCCCAGACAATGGTTGATAAAAAGCACCGGCGGCAACCACAGAATGTCTTGTCAATGACAAGAGAAACGTCAAAGATGCTACTATGATCGCATCGCTGTTTCCACGCTCGCAAACAAGCTAATATAAAAACAAAGCAACAAGTATAAGCAATATTAACCACTTGGAACACGGAGAACAAAAGAGTATGGGGCAAAAGTCGTGCAAAAATATTGCGATAATAAATAAAGGGAAATAGATGAAACAACTAACTACCGAAGTGGCTGTACCTACATGGATGTCAATAAGAGGAAAACATGAGAGGGAGAACAGATTACATATATGGGCGTAGGGTCGGGGAATACGTAATTGTGGTTCCTGATTGGGCCACTTCATGTTCGATCTTAAGGGAATTAGAATGGACTTTGAAGTTGACAAAGGAGTGCAATTGTGAACTTTGTTGCAGTTTCATTAAATTTTATTTTGTTATAAGACCAAGTTTTCTTCTATGGAATGAATAAATTTAATTAGTACACATATTTTACTTAAATGGTCCAGATTTTGCCTTCGATCGCCTTATCCCTGACTCCGATGAAACAATTGAGAGCATGGAGATCACGAGACCTTTTAGCATTCAAAAACAGGTTAAGCGTTGCGGGTAGACTCCGCACACACACAGAGAAGCATACCCAAAGTCCACTTTAAGAAGTGCGCACGACCTAAACACCGATTCATTACAAAATCCATTTACCAGTTTTTTCGTCTGCCTTGACTTGGCATTTTAGGATTTTATTGTAAATTTGGATTAACTAAAAAGTATTCATTATGAATGAAAGTGATTTTTCTTCGAGAAGCAGGCATTTTTCAAATCAAGTAGAAATAGCCAGAGTGACTAGTGGATCATCTCAATTATGAAAGCAAAATCATAATACAACTTACAGATCCAGTAAGATAAGAGGCAAAATCAATCCCACCAAGTGAAGCAACGACACCATCGATGCCACACTTCGACATGGGGGATAGGCTGGAGGGAGTGACTTCAATATCAACGTTTGCCACCGGATCGGCCATCCACAACGACGTGGAGATTTTGGGATAAGTAGAATAAACATTCCTTTCCCTATCGACAAATAATCCCGAATATTATTAACTTAAGCATCGATGTCTTATGCACAAAGCGAACACAGTGTTAAGAGCCACTTCTGAAAATAACAAGGTAACAACTGTTGTTAGACACCTATTTAACAGCCCAAGAATACCCATAGGAAGGTCACAGTAGATTGAGCTACAAAGTATTGAAAAAAAAACAAATAAGAATTACTGAACACTTACGGAGAGCTTGGGGGTTCGTTAGAATACTCCGTGGCAGGTGACGAAGCAGGTAAGCCTTGGTTTGAAGGAATACGCACTGTCCAGTTAACAACTGATAATGACGGACATCCGGTGGTAATCAAAAGATTGTGCTAAATACAAGAAAAAAGATTCAAAAACGCGATATGCAGTACTTCATACGAGGCAGATTGCAAATTTTTTGGGGGTTTAGCATCCCCACGATAATATTTTTCAAGTTTTTACACGCCAACCCATGTACTTTTATCGGCCTTCGTCACCTTGTGCTGGTAAACGGCAAACAAATTAGATTCACATGGCGGAAAGTAGACTTGAAAAAAACTGGTAAGCGTTGGAGATAGATAATTTGGATCTTCAAACACTGCTGTTCCAGACATTCTGGTGCAGACGACTAGTATTACAGAACAAACTGTTCTAGCTCCAGAGACTAAACAGGCGAACCGTGTAGTATGCATATGACTGAAAACACACCTTAAAGCCAACTCCCGTTAATTTAGAGCTCGAAATTGCTCGTGGTAAGAACATGAAATAAATGGCTGTCATAACAGGTGAAAAACAAGAAATTGTCTCAAACATGGAGCAGGCCAAATTATTCACGAATAAGTCAACGGTTTGAGACGAAGATGAGTGCACAACATTATCAAACCACTAAAGATAATTTTTTTGTAGAAACTAGCTTTACTGGTTGATAAAAACTAAAATCACCCACAAAAACTGGGAACAACGATTTCATGAGACGACCTAATTGCAGACAAACTTGTCAGTCGTAAAATCGCACAAGCAAAGATTAATTCGTCATCTAAAGTAAATGTTAAATTAGCACAGTAGTAGCTGCACTGACCCATAAGTTAACCTCGCGATCTCAATTAACAAAGCAACACACCTTGGCCAATCTACACAAGGTACGGACCCATGCTACAGAGCCTGAATTAAGCATTCTTTGACCGCGCGAAAACAAACGGCCGACAAATTTGGGACGCAAGCGATGGAGGAGAGCACGGAGGTAGAATCGACCTTTAGTCGCAAACGCTATCCTGGAGTCCGCTGAGACAACTGGTGGAGTTCCGTCCCACGATGGCCCACAGAGAGCAAGACACAGAGCTAAGTCTTTCAACTGGGCTTGAAGTCCTTCGGCGCAGAGAACGAGGTGCTTAAGAACATCGCCTATTGATCAGGAATAGTTATAGTTGAAAACAGAAGGCATAATGGGGACCGATATAAATCATGAAGCGGTTTGCTAATAATAACCCAGTCAAATCTGAAATAGAGTGCTGATAATCCAGTAATATCTGTTTGTTGAAGGCACCCGTTTATTAATTCTATAAGATTATGTCATATTAAAATTTCAGTGCAACATCACAAGGGCCTTTTCTGGTTCTCGAGAATACTAAGGATCCTATGAACCTTTGTAGATAGCTAACTCTGTTTCTGAAATATAACAAATTCTAGAATGCGTATATTCAATTGGATTGAAACGGTCCTTTGAAAGGCCTACAATTCAAGCCAACTTTTGCGCACACAGGAAGCCACAATGCTTAACAAGGTGCCGGCCACTGTATCTTATACAACTTATCAGCCGTGGGAAAAATACATTTTAATTACCCAAATAAGGTGCTTTAACACCGTAATGGTGCGTTAAAAAACCAATTGTATCAAATATATGAAGGAAATAGATGAGCAGGGGTTTGGAAAGCAATGTTTACGAACCAGAAAAGACTAGAAATCCTCCAGTGAAAATAAACGGTGCCTTAGCAACCAGCTTTCCCGAATTTTCAAGCATCACAATATCATGACCCATCCATAGACTCAATGAACACGGAGTCGTCACAAGTCGAGTTCTGAGGTGATGTGTGTAACGCGTAGATTGGGTTCCGGTTATGCATGAGGGTAACAACACCGGGAACAAGGTGAACTCCTTCTCCCTATACAGTGTTCCATTTATTGTGGTAGCTACCTACAACAGAAGGGTGGAGTTAGGTGGTACTTTTTTGAAGAAGTGACAGAGAACGTGCTCAACTCACCATTCCTGTGAGGGAACTCGTGGTGTTCTTATTCCATAAAAGACTAAATAACATATGCCCCCAATCATTGGGGTCTAGCACGTTGGGAAAGTAGACATCAGAAGAGAGAACATATGCAAAAGAATCGCCGTGGCAATGGTCCGGCACGAAATATTCCTTTTCGAATCTGCATCGTCGTCTAATTCGAGTAAAGATACCTCTTGAACCAGGAACTAACCAGATCTGCGAAAAACAATAAATCGAAAATGTAAATATTGGAGGGGAGGGGGGTAGGTATGTGCGATTTCGCCATGTACCTCGATAGACCAACAACTGAAGGAAGGTTTATTTCCAACGTGTGAAGGAGTGAAAGTCGCGGCAGATTGATCAGCACAAATATTTGAGGCATCCGTCCGCAATGTTCGCGTATCGATTTGGGACTCTTCTAATGTTAGCATGTGAAGAACGTCCCCTCGCGAGGCCAAAGCACCAAGAGCGGACTCCGAAATCGGGGCACTGGCATCGAACCGTGGCTTAGGGCCACCCACGGCATTCTATTGTAAGGAATGTGAAAGAAGGCCCTTTTAGTACCAGGAGACATAAGAACTTTGCCATGTTTAAAAAACCGTTAAGACTTGTGGATGCGAATTAGATTAACCGAGCAAGAATTTACGACAGCTGCAGCTCAAAAGTAAGATATTTTAACGAGGGGATTTCAATGACCGATAAGAAAACGAATTGTTAAGTTGCAAAATTACAAAACTAACATGGATGGTAAAATTTGATCAAGAGATACAAATACACAAGCATAACAGAAGATTCTCCATTAGTAGGTTGGAAGTGAGGCTCCTTTATGACCAATTGCAACGTGCCTTTGCCTCCTTCAGAAACTTGGCTGCTTGACTTTTGGGAGAATTAAATTTACTTCAAGTAGATTGTTAGAATGGTCCATTACCACAATATTTCGAATTGGCAAGATCGGTATGGAGGAGCAAAAAGTATGGAGGACGTACCTATTGTTTTACCAGAAGCATATGCAATTAGTTATGCTAGAACATTTAACTTACGAATTTGTACCACAACGATACAACCACGCCATTGGGACTTGCACAAAAAGGCGCAGTCGAGCTCATAACACTTGCTGGCTTCTCTTGATAGCTGGCCGAACGCCGACTGATGTGTGAGGGCCAGATTGTTGAAGTGGGAGGGTCATCGAGAGGATTATCAGGGGTTTGGCCCCAGTGTTCTAATGAGATACTAGATCGAGCAAAAGCAAAGGATTGAAATGTTGGCACAGCAGGAGGAATTCCAATTCGGGACGACTTGAAAGCGGTAGGCCAGGGGATGCTGAAATAGCGAGGCCATTCAAGATAGTGTTCGGGTTCCAGAGGGTTCGTGCGGCAAGACCATTTCGTTAACAAACGAAGTAACCGAAGCTAAACATAAACGACGTACCTATTTATCATCAGTAGCACGTATTAAAAAAGATATATCGAGAGCTCACCTTAATTCCGCAGAACTTTGCCCTCTTTGTCAATCGAAGCAAACCGCTGATCTGGACATTAGTAGCTTCAACAAGCGCAGATATTGACCATTTTTTACCACCTGTCCACAAAGCTTCCAAAAGGTCAAGAAGGACGTCAAACTTAGTTGAGTCATTGCCTAAAATAAGAGATTAATTGCACTAAATTAACGCATGTAACGACTGAGTGACCTGTAATGAGTATCGAATATACCAGAATCCAACTCCAATTAAAAGCCTGACTGTTTCACCTGTCCATATCACACGTATTCAGATACTTAAAAAATGACACTAATCCTGACTTAGAATTAAGTGTGGAGGAGGTAAATGTGTGGGTGGCAGAATAAAACAAACATAGTGACATTGTTTTTTGTGATAATGAAATGTAAATAAATAAAAGTTAGACCGATATGCCTACAGGGAAGCCATTTAAACTCCATTAGTACGTTTCAAGCCCAGGTTAAAGTGACAACAAAGCACTCTTATTATTCCAATGTTTAAAAAGGTGAATTTGTGCTATTGTTAGAAATACCCGTTTTAAAGACTACCAAGATCAAGGAAATAGCGCAAAACCATGATTATTTTATAACCTAATCAACGTAGAGCGAATTCTATAAAATCAATTTTGCAACGGAAAACGCACATTTTGCGAGTTCAAGTGATCGGAGCAATCGCAAGCCATCAGAGGCTATGTCGGATAACCAGGCCTACAGACAAAGAAAGGACAGGTCAAGCATAACAACTGGCTTATTGTGTACAAATATTCAGTGATTTTATACGCACCCGGATTTGTGGATCATTGGATGAGGGAAGATCAGCCGGTGGAGATTGACGCAGTTGTCTGAGTATAAGAAGAAATCTTTTTAATATGGTAATTTCGTCGGGCTTCCTAAGGTGACAAGAATGAAGAAACCGATTGAAAATGAAGAAAAAAAGTCTGATGTGTTTTTCAACCTGCGGCTTTTTCCTGGATTGTAGTTTTTCCTCTTCTGCAAGATAATACGACATTGGGACGGATAACGTGTGCTCAACTTGCTCTATATACGGATTAATACAGGCGTTAGATATACCACTGTCCAATTCTTCTGGCAATTTATGAGATTCCTTCTGATTTTCGGTTCGGAGACCCGAAGAAAGGGAAATAAGGCTATCCAGAATCGCAAGATCAGCACAATGGAACGGTATGTTTGCAGTTGAAAAGTTACCTAACTAAAACGATGATATTTTGTTTTTAAATATCAATCAAAAGGAAGGTGTTAACACCATCTAGACTTGACTTACCTCACAACTAAGGTCAGACAAAACTCCAAGCAGACAACCCCGTAGATCCACGGGTAAGCTGGAGGCTTCGACTAAAAGATTCTCTGCCACTGCGGCAAGAGACCGAAGCAGGGAATCAAAGCGCAGGGTGAGTGGGGCTAATTGGGAAACAGGAGTCCCGCCGCGTGTTCGCGACAAAACACTCCAAAGACGAGCCCAAAGGGAAAGGTAGAACGAGGAGTGCAAAGCCTGTGATTAGGTGAAATAAGCGCAGTGAGGTATGTACAGAATACACATCAATATCCGTTCACACCTAAGCATAACAAGTAACAGAAATTTGAAAAAAAAATTAAATTACCCCAAATCGACGGAGATGAACTCTCGTTCATGCTGGAAGGCTTTTTTACATTAACCCCACCGTTTATCATGATTGTCGACGTCAAATCACTCAATTGAGGTAACTTCAAACGCATCGAAACAATATTTTAAAAGAAGTAATCTACTGCAAAAAGATACGGCTAGGGCTATTTTACTTCATTTACACTTATAAATAACCATAAACAAAATTAGGTTTCCCTCTTTCGGCCATTCATAAATCCTCCACCAGACTTTTCCTAAGAAATAATACTTCAAACAAAAGGAAACAATAAGACCAATAATACATTAATTTGGTGATTAGCCAATTTCATTCAATTCGCCTTTTCTGTAAACAACCAAATAAAATGTCATATACTAAATGCAATTTTGTCCTTAATACTTAGATGTCTGATTTTCGAAGTTTGGCAGCTTGGCTGACAGGGAATTCGAGTATTTCATCACGCCGGAGAGCGCCAAATCCACAATCGGTAGCCGTGTACACAATCAAGGCAGGACTGAATAGGACTCACTTCCGAATCAACTTGAAGACAACGCAGGGTGAGTTGAAGGTAGCACCGCATAAGAGATTCCAACAGGCTCCTCTTGGTGTTAACAATGGTGGAGCAGACATACGGATAGGCGCTACACAAGATGGGATCAGGGGTCGTAAGGTATTCAGCAAATGCACTACAAGGTAAAAACAGTGTGCGTGAATAACTATGGGTGGTTGAAGTGCCTGACAAAACGTAAACCGATTTTATTAGTAACGTTTTTCAAGGAGGCGCAAATTTTGATGTCAATATTCTACACAAACAGGGTAGATGAAATTTTAGGTATTTAATCTATGTAAAAAATTTCCATATTACGCAAAACTTTATTTCTTACGCATAGTTTGGAAATATCAACGAAAAAATTTCAACCAAATGGCAATTTACCCAACTTATAGTTGATGCATCTGCCTGAATCTTATTTTAGGATGATAGTGATTGAAATATACTGCTTCCCTGAAATTATCCATTTTTGTATTAATGCGCTCCAGTGCATAGGACAAAAATTGCACTGCTTTTGGGAGCCGGTGGTGTGGAATCTCTCATGCGTAATAACGGGGAGAAGTTTTCTGAAGAGGGATTATTCTAAATGTTATACGATGAATGAAAATTTGACACCATTTACATTCGACCGACACCGAATAACGCATGGAAAAAATTAGATTGTGGGTGGAAACATAAACAATTGGCAAAACATGCATAGCCAACCGTAAACTGAAACCATTCCAAAAAAAATACTTCAAAGTGTGGGTGTGAATGAGAATATTAATAGTTGTACCGAATTTTATTTTAACGTACTCAATGACACGAATTATGGCAGTCGAAGAAACAGCTACAGTTGCTATTATACGGTCTAGGGACGAGAGGGCATTGAATGCTTCGCAAACGGCTTCTGGGTCGCTGAGACCGCTAACTAAGCGGATATATGCAGAAGAAAGTTCAATGGCTATCGAAACTTGAGCAATGTTGCGCAATTGTGATGTCATGTTCAAACAAGGGCAAATCAAGGATAGGAGCATCGCAGACCGAAATCTAAGACCTGAAATAAATAAGGTCAAAATCCCATTGAAGATAAACACCTTGTGAATAACCATCGCCGGAGCGCATAACAAAAGGGTGGACTAATTCACGGAAGTCATCATGACTCAACAGATTGTAAAAATTTAAGTTCCATCGTATTTGCTGAAAAGGCCTGGTGAATTTGTTTGTGGCATAGTGAGGAAAAACAGAAACAGTCATGACAGGATATTGACTATACCACATTAACACAAAAACGGCCCTCAATGCACAGCTAATACTACTGTTAGTATATCCTTGGACGATTTATAAGAGTGTGCGTTACTACTAATAAATGATCAACTCTGACCTTTTATTATTTGCGGTAATTTCAACTAGAACTATAAGACAACTACTTAAACCTCATTATCGCCATCAGCAAAATACTTTTTCTACGAAGTCTAGGGAATTTATGCATCGATTTTCATGCAACCGGCAACATACAAAAAAGGTAGAAACTATACAATAGCGAGCATCGATTGGATAGAAGCTAACCAAGCCAGGTAAAAAAAAAACAAATCACACAAAAGCCTATAAGTAACAAAACGTACGAAAAGGGTTTTTACATGCGGCCTCCGAAAAAACCTGAATGACGAATGCAATATCTGTATAGTTTGGTATTGGTTCTTCGGACTCGGCAAAAACTTCCAAAATCGAACCATGGAGATTAACCAGCACACCCGCAGTCAACAAATTCTCGGTGCTTTCTTCCCAAACTCGAATATACGTGTCTGCCAGGAGGTATATGCCCCCAGAAGATATCAGATGACGGAGAGGAACGCACAAGTTGACACAGAGGCAAATAAAAGAGGATGCCAATTTCAAGGGAGCATTGCGCGTTACCAAAAAAAGAGTGCTCGGAGTACCGATTGTTAGAAGCCGAATATAGTGAACAATGATATCGGGATGTTCGGACACTTGTAAAGAATTTAGCAAGTCCTTGAGAAGCAAAACGCCCGTGAAGTCACACGTATTCTTGGAGCTGAATGCGTACACATTTGCAAAGAGAATAGAAAAAATATCCGCGTAATGAGACACGAGAAGGGGTTCTAGATATTTCCACCCACCGAATTCAGCTTGCCATACTCTTAGACATTGAGGGGCGATTCGACGGACAAAGAACAATGATACTAGGAACATTTCGAGTGCCGCTTCCTTCTGACCAGCGAACAAGAGACGCTTTGTAAATCCACAAAGACGTTGAATTAGCACAGGGCATTCGAGCTTACCAGCTCTAGTTTCGATTTTTCGAAAAGGGGTTGTTATGATCAACATATTTAAGCACAGAGCATTGCTCAAATGCAAAGTAAGGCAGCTAAAACCAAAGTATTTGTAACAGAGGTGAGCATATATAAAAATGATGGGAATAATGAAGATAATGGGACCGAAATAATTAACGTACGAGCAAGAAAAGTCCTCGGAGGGTTCACTTAATGCTTTCTCTGACAGTCGCAACACTGCCTCAAATACGCGAAACACGTTTAATCTATACAAGTGTGGATGAGTATCAAAGAAATGTTTCCACAGTAGCACGTAAATTCTTGTCATGCATAAGGTTAAGATGCATTTTAATGGAAGACCCAAATGAAGGAAGCTTTGCCATTGGTGGAGATTGTGAGATGAAAGGCAACCAACTTCGAATGTTGATCTAGTTTCAATAAAATGTTCGAACAAAGCTGAATACGCTGAGATAGGATGGAAAAGTTCCGTCGAACTACGACCGATTTTACAGCAAATGACAGAGCCGAGTGATGGAAGCCAATCAAAAAAAAAGGTTTTACTGCCTAAAGTGAAAATACAATGCAAATGTTAAGCGTTGCTATGTGAAACTGAATACAATGTAATTTTCTGTAAGGTAGCTTTTAACGTGATAAACACGCACCTGCTAATAAAGGAGCTTTGTCGCTATGAATTTCTCCGAGGGAACAGAAAAACTCGATGAAGCTCTTTTGGTATGACACAAGCTCTTCCGCGATGATTTCATTTTGAGACGATTTAATAAGGGTATCTCGGGAACAGGAGCCAGAACCCAGCATTTGGCAGGTAGACCAAAGATTTTCACAGACTTCACGCACACTTTCCACACTACCAGTACAGTGAACACTGGCAGCTAGAGTCAAGGACTTCGCGAGACTATAACCGTAACTTACGTCGGCCATAGTTGCAATCCAGCAGCTTGAATCCCTCAGAAATAAAAGGAAAACAAAGACTTTAGGAGCTGGGTGGAGTGCATGGGGAGAGCAACAAGTATCCCTCGATAAAAACAGCTCATATATTGAGCTCGTATAGAAGCAAAAGTCAATATTTTAAAACAGTTTATGAAGCAACGGAAGCATAAGAAAGAGACAAGCAATGCAGCGCCGAACTAAGTCCAGGTGGTCAAAAAAATACCTCAAAGAACAAACCAATCAGCTAAGCAGAAAAGAAGGACAATCTCAACTAGTGACCTAGAAGCAGTTAATAAATATTTATAAGCGTAAGTAGCCGGATTTTATTGCCTAATTGTCAAAATACAAAATAGGCCTTTTTTTCGGTTAAACTAATATAATAATACCAGTTTCATCTATTAGGAAACCCTGTTCATATAAGAGATTAAAAACAAAATGCGAAACAGAATTAAACAGGAGCGGCATTTGTTACGTATTAATAAAAATTGAAGAAAAACAAAAATCTTTTTAGGCCGTTAATAAAATTAAAAAAACTGACAGAAGTCCACGCTAAAAAGGAAGCTAAGGTCTCCTCAGATAATTTCTCAATATTTAAAGGTCCAGGTTTCGCAAGTTTCTTGAAAGGATGCTACAAATCCTTGTGTCAATCTTGATTCTACTAATAGGATGAGCAGTTTTTGAATGGCTGGTGTTGCTAATCTCCTTAAAACTCAAATCGGGTTTTTTCTGAATTTGGCATCCTCTCTACTATTGTCTGTTTGGTAAAATAATTTTACAATGAACACAGTCTTCAGTTGTTAGTTCTCGGTTATTTGCCTCGGCCGATCATGGAGTTCGATTTTCTAGCCGAAAGTGAAACAACTACAAGTTTCTAACCAGCAAATGAGTGTAGTTGACATCTATTTAGCGGGAACACACGAGCTACTTCGGCTAACAGCAGTGGCCTACTAAGCAGTCGATCGTTCAGATGCCTAAGCTGCCACTAGTGAGCTCAAGCAAAATCCTGCATTGACTTCTGACTCAAACAGAATATATGTATTTAACGATATTTGGGAAAACTTACCCCGACGTTAACTCACCTTGTGTAGTTTAACTCCAACTGCAATGCCAACATCTCGTTTAGTGTTGAATACACTTCCGTGACTGACTCAGCCAAGCAAAAAAATATGCAAATTGGGAAACCACAGAAATGTCTTTATAACTTTGAAGTCCATTTTCTTTTTTATTCTATCCAATTGTTTACGTTATTCTATTATTCACGAACGTGTATCAAAGCCTTTTCATGTTAGGCCAGGAGGCGAGTCATTTCAGTATTATTTCTCCACCTAAATTGTCTCCTCGCATCTATAAATTTGCCATTATAGTTTTATTTCGTGACCTAACTCATGTATGTCAACTTCCGTTGATACTCCGATTATTAACGGTAATTGAAAACTGATAAGTCTGCATAATACAATATTGTTTGTCTATGCCACCTTCCAAGCAGTCTAGAATAACTCAACAATTTAACAGACATTTTGGCTTGCTTGTGCGTTGTAGGAAGCGGTTTACGAGGTGTGTCAGGCATGCAACGTGACGGAACGTGAAGTGTTCGCAGCCCTGATCGCTAATGACCCAAGTGACCAACTTTGTGTCGCTTATCACCTGATTATCGATAACAAGTAAGCACAGACTTCTTTCCTTGTAAACGTGATATGCCAAATTCTGATAAGTGAGCCCCGTCGTTGAATGTTTAAAAGCACTTGGGCGTGAGTGGCTTTTGAAAGCCTCATAAAGGCTCCGCAACACTTGACACGATGCTGTCACGAAATGCATCCTGCACTTACTGAATTAAGAGAGGTAACTGTATTCGTCAAGACGTTTTTGCTAATTTGTTGGGTGTCAGAGATCGTTTATCCGAGGACCCGTAAATACATTGGTTCGCCAGTGCCCATCTCCCATATCTCCCCCTTTGAAGAGTTCACACATACGCATCGTAAGAAAATGTTGGAAAGAAGCAAAGGAATGCAATCCTGATGGTGAGAGTTTTGGAGTGCATGGTGTCCCAAACCGCAACATTCCACTCACATTGCAGTAACTTCACCTGAGTCGCCACTGTGACCAACACACGCATCTTTCTCTTGGTTACATCCCTCCGTGTGGCTACTTATGACCGAACATGGGCGAAACAAATTACACGGCTCTTTTGACAGCTACTTCTACTGGGACGCACCCGGTCACGCAAAATTGACAACTTGAGGTTTGGACTGCACGTCGGCATCCGTGGTTGCCTTTTATGGATTCACCCTCCCGCTTATCACGATCTCCCTCCTACGACACTACGGCACTAAATCTACACTTCACTGCTAGCAATTGGCTGCTTCAATGTAGACTCGTGTTTGTTGCATTACGATGACACGTCAACAGCGGGCATGCGTTAAACAGAGTTGCGTCACTCAAGTAATGCGGCGCCGAAGTCCACAGCTCCTAACACACTTCAATTTCTTCCAAACCCCTCGGAACTGCAATTACATCAAAGTGTTGTGTAGTGCCAACCTCGAGTGTTCTCGAATATTTGGTGCTAGTATCAATCACAGTCTTGATATGACCTACAAACGTAGTCCGAAACAAGATGCATCCAATATCTTACTGCCGAATTCTGCACCCATTAGTCAATCAGCAGGATTACTGGAAGCACGAGTTCCTTTTAGTAAATACGTCGATACCTATTTGCTATTCATTTACCCTCTAAGCACTAGTCAGCAGACAGCATGGTATGAGGATAGTGTCGCGTGACTGTCGACGCGATCGTTAGTTCGCAGTAGGTGGCAGTGTGCAGTCACTAAAGCCAGGTTGTTATCGCGTACCAACACCGGTGGATGTTGGAAACTGGGAAATTGCATCTACTGTTATCTCGCCCTAACACGTTGATGCGTTGCACTAATGACTGTTTTGACACCTGATTGTAAGCAGTTTCATGTATATTGGTTTAGATAAGAATACGTTTCATAGTAATGCAAAGTTTTCATCTTTCCAAGATTGGTACGTAAGTTTGATCACAGAAAGCAGAATTTAATTTTTTTGATATTATCGTTTCAAATCGGTCTCCTTGAAACCCTACTCCGGGGCTGTTTTTGATGGGCTCTTTAAGGGATAGTTTATTGCCTACGTATGTATATTGACTAAGAGACTTCGAAATCCCAACACCTTTTCTTTGGCATGTTATCATGTACTAATCTTGATTCTATCAATGGAATGGGCGGTTTTTAAATGACTCTTCGTTTGCTGTGTTGCCACATACAAGATTGTGAATTGTAGATTATGCAACCATTTTACCCTTTCACTACTATTTTGGTCAGATACGTCAGCTAAATGCTGATTCATTTTACGTGCATACCAGGCTTTTAGGTTATTTGGTTCCCAGGTTGCCCACTAGCTTACCATTCATTGCGACTGCTGATTTTCATCAGTTTTGTCTGGCGGAATTTTTGTGATGAGGGTGATGCTGAGAAGCGTTTCGACGAACGTTAACTTATGTTAATTTTCTGAAGGCAAGTACTCGAAATAGAACACGTGTTAGAAAAAAAACACAATTAATTTGTTCGCAGACATAAACCATACAATTGCTTTAAAATTGTTTAATGTATAAATTTGTTGCGGAAAAGTAGCGAATTCCATAAAAATATGAGTTGAAATTTAGTTTTTTTCTGACAGTTCTTAATAAACTTTGAATATTGCCTCAATAAGAATGATTTGAGGGATTTTTTAATCAATATTAGAAGATTTCTAACTTCGAATAATCACCTAATCAATAAGTCATTTGATTAAAATTCTCACGATAACCGTTAAATGAAAAGTTAATATCAATAATTTTTGTTTTTTTGCTTGGCAAAACGTGTTTTTTTCTGCTAATTTTCTGGCGATGACTATTCACGTTGTAAAATAAAATAAATTTTGACCAAATATGCTTTTTACCAACGGTCGGCATCTGCTACCAGCTGTTCCTATGTTTTTTTACAGTCACTGTTTGTAAATTTAATCTACTTTCGTAAAGGTATGTAAAATTGTTTAGTTTCTATTCACCAACAGGCATTTCCTAAAACGCTAGTAGGATTTTTTAAAGTAAAACATCCTGGCACCAAAAAGACCGGAGTGTTCCTGATTTTTTATATTTTCAAAGACTTTCAGGGTTAGTTTTCCGTATAAAACGGCAACGCTTTCGGAAAGACTCTGCGGTTGACCCACGGTTTGGGTCGACTAATTTAATTTTGCGCCCTTTCAAACTCTGTAATCGTTGTGATTTCCGCAGTCGTAGGTTTTTGTTGTGTTTCTTGCGACACTGCTTACGCTTGCTCGCCATTTTCAGCTTTAAATGTCTACTGATTGTTGATACCTGCTCTTCTTTTTTTTTCACAGTGCTAGAAATTTTCTTCGTGCATGATTATTTTTCGGAATGAATTTGCATGATTAGCAAAATGCAGGTTTGACATTTTATCTTTTATTCTTTTTTTTCGACTAGCATACTGTTGAGCCTTTAACCATTACATCAGAAACCTTTAACGAATTTACGTCAGAGCCCAGAAGAGAACCTCCTCTTTCTGTTCCACGTGAGTTTGTTGGAATGTTCATTTCTCGTGCGTTGGAGAAGATTGCCAGCGAAAAACAAACAAGAAAGTCTTCGAATGTTGAACTACGGGAAGCCTGTTGGGATGGTATTGCTTTCCTAAGGACGCGTGTTGATATCTCTGGTGGAGATAGCGACAAATCTTTGAGGTCTGACATTTATACGCCTCCATCTCAATCCCAAGGTGGAGCACTACTAAATGATGAAAAGCTTTTGATTCCATTTGAGCTTGCCTGCAAAAGCAAGTCGCCTAAAATTGTCGCTACATCTTTGGACTGTTTGCAGAAGTTAATTGCTTATGGGCATGTTCCTAACGATGCTTTCGATTCGACGGGCAATGTTAGATTAATTGACCGAATAGTTCAGACAATATGTTCCTGTTTTAACGTAAGTTTTGAATTTAATTATCCTAGCCCACTTCAACTCCTGTTCAATTTATGCTAGTGTAATTATTTAATTCACGCCTTATTCATCACTTTGTTATATTCTAGATTAACGTAAAGCCGTATAATATTTTACATCCTTTTCGGATTAATTTCTCCATCCACTCTTGTACTACTTTTATATAGAGTAAATTTTAGTTCTTATCAAATGATGAATAGGTACATTTTTCCTTTTTTAGGGCGTAAATACAGAAGATGGCGTTCAACTGCAGGTCATAAAAGCACTTTTGACTGTTGTTACGTCTCCTATTGTCGAAGTACACGACCGCAACATTCTTTTAGTTGTACGCACGTGCTACAATATATACATGGCTACTAAGAATCTCGTAAATCGAACGACCGCACGTGCTACACTCACTCAGATGTTAAACGTCATCTTTCAACGGATGGAACAGGCCACGCATTGTGCCTCCGTCTATCACGACGGGAAGGATTTTAGAGTCGAAACAAAACAGGTCTTTAAAACTGAAGGAGGCGAAAGCGATAGTAAAGAAAACGCGTCTGAATCTGAAGATTCTTCTTTGAAACAATCTTATCACGCTGATGGAAATATTGATTCTGATCAAAAGGAGGAGGATTGCAGAAGCCGTGAAGAAAAAGGCAATCTCTCTTCCTGCAATAAATTAAACGAAAATCACGGAAGCGCTCTTGCTAGTGCTCCGGAGAATTCAGAGGAAAATGATCAAGAGTGTAAACCAGAGGCATTTCCTTGTGCCGAGACTGAAGACCCACAAGTTCAAGACGAGGCACACGAGTCAACTGAGGCTTTAGATCACGCATGTGAGGACAGTAATCTGGAAGAGGCCCTTGATGATTACCCTGGCGTTGAAAATGGTAATGAGTTGGAAGTGTCTCAAACTATCACTGATGTGAAAATGCCAAAGAGCGTTGCTACTAATTTATCTACCTCTGCAGCATCTCTGGATAATGATGCAGCAATCAATTCTTCAGCTGATTCTGCTGACGAAATCACATCCACTGACTACTACTTTGATCACGTTTACCAAAAAGACGCATTTTTTGTGTTCCGTTCCCTTTGCCGACTGGCAATGAAGCCGTTGGCAAGCACAAATCCTAATGATCCAAGGTCCCATGAGCTGCGGTCTAAAGTGCTGTCTCTTCAGTTGCTGCTCACCATTCTGCAGTCTTCAGGTCCCGCCTTTAGGTCTAGTTCTGTATTCATCACAGCGATCAAGCAGTACCTTTGTGTTGCGATCTCAAAAAATGGCGTTTCTTCTGTTCCTGAGGTGTTCCAATTGTCACTGGCAATTTTCGTCTCCCTTCTAACTCACTTCAAGCAACATATAAAAATTCAAATCGAGGTGTTTTTTAAGGAGATGCTCCTTGCAATCCTTGAATCTCCAACTGCCTCGTTCGAGTTTAAATGGATTGTAGTTGAGGCACTCCAGCGTATTTGTATGGACAAGCAATGCATCGTTGACGCTTATTTGAACTACGATTGCGACATTGAACGGGAAAACATATTCGAGAAACTCGTAATTGGTCTTGCGAAGGTGGCTCAAGGAAGTCATTCGGTGGATGCACGAGCAACGCCAGCTCAACTTCAAAATCTGCGCAAAAAGGGCTTAGAGTGTTTGGTGCTGATTTTAAAGTGTATGGTGCGCTGGTCTAGTGACCTTTTCAATGTGTCAACTGAGGCGCAATCATTTCTTGGCTCAGAACCATGTAATTCGTCTACCAGAGCTGCAAAGGACCGTGACGCCGACAGTGCATCGTCCATTGGTAGGTAGAAACTGCAGTCTATGTACTTATGTTATCTTACTATTCGTGCTTAACGTTTCGATATCAAATGTGTAAGGGGTCGTAAATGGATTTGCACATGCAACTAGCCATGCTTCACCACTGTTTACCTCCTAGCAGATGCCACCGTTTAATGGGACATCCTTCTCAAAATTAGTACCCTGGTAACATCCACGCAGGCATCGTCGGACATTTCTGAATTCACACTTGTTTTTTAATTGATTGAATAATGTATTATCGACACATAGGTGTAAATAAAGCAGTTCCGGATGATCCCGAAGCATTTGAGTCGCGAAAAGCACTCAAGGAAGTTTATGAATCGGGAATATATCAATTCAATCGAGGCAAAGTTACGAGGGGCCTGTCATTGCTGCAAGAAAACAATCTTCTGGGCACGAGTGCAGAGGAGGTGGCCATGTTCTTACACAACGAGTCACGTCTATGTCGCACTGCAATCGGCGACTTTCTCGGCGAGAACGAAGCCTTTGCCTTGGAGGTCATGTATGCCTACGTGGACTCCTTCGACTTCTCTGGTGTCGAATTTGTTTCTGCTCTGAGGTCAGTTATTAGCTTCTATCATATGGACCTCTTTTACAATGAGGGGCTTTTGGTGTGTCGACACGGCTCAATAAAACGATTTATGTTGCCATAGGTTTAACATTTGTCTTGACGTCTGGTTACATGCACTTTGAGCCATGGCTGCATTGTACCGTATTCTTAAACCTGTTTTAGCTATCTCCAAGCTGACCACACGTGACAAGTGTTCGTGATATGTGTATTGGTCATGTTTTATTATGATGTTTAAGTTTACCTAGTTCCTCAAATGTGCAAATTGCGACATTTTAATGGATTATTTATCATTATTACTTTTGTAAAATTATGGAAAATGTACGGAGGCGACTAGCTGACGTGAAAATAGGCGAGACCCAAGGCTTTAACGCAGGTCATAACGGACGCTTTCCATTTTCAATTCCCATAGGCTTTTCTTATCTGGTTTTCGGTTACCCGGTGAGGCCCAAAAAATTGACCGCTTAATGGAAAAGTTTGCAGCCCGATATTGTGCTTGTAACCCTAACAATACCCTCTTCGCGTCTGCTGATACCGCTTATGTGCTGGCCTACTCCATTATTATGCTCACAACGGATCTCCATTCAGTGAAGATTAAGCGAAAGCAACGAATGAGCAAGGTAGTTGAAATCATTTATTCATATTTTTGCAGTTAACGTGGAATGGTGTTAATTGGTTCTAGAATATGGTCCAAACTGTTTACATTATCGCAAATGTTTATCCGTTGTTATGAAACAATTTCCAAATATCGAAACCTTGTGTCATTGATGCGTCAAATGGAAATCTATCTTACCCACTTGGAGCATAAAATGGTAATGTTCATAATGGAGCAGCAAATTGCGTGCATGCTGACCGTCTAGCGCTAGGCGCTATTGGCTGAAAATCTGAATCCAACTGTCCTAAAGGTATTCAAGGCACTACAAGGCACCACCTTATTATCAGAACAGACAACGCAATGAGACAGAAGGTGTTAGTGTGGTCGGTATTTGAAAGACGCAAACTCGGGGAAATTTGAGGAGCAACTCTCAGTAGTTCTCGGCAAACCGTTTCACCTCACATAGTGAAGTATCCGACAATGTGAATATTATATTTCGGTTCTCACACTCATGATCTTGTTGTTGCATAACCTCTGGCTTTAATTCCATTCATATATTGCTGCGTAATTTTTTGCAATGAAGTTATACTCTGCGCACCCGCTTTGTTTTTTGACACAGCCGTCATATTTAGCACCTGCAGAACATGCTGTTGAGAGCTACCTTGGTGTTATCCGACTGCACATGTTGACCTCAGTACCGTGGCTTTCAGGGCGGGCAGTAGCATCTAAGTTCCCCGCGTGCTTAGTCCTGAGTGTGCGACCAACCATTGACAGGTTCTAGTGAGCAGGCTCCAGTGTGCAGGAATTTTCACCAAAAGTGAACATAATGCATATCTTTTATTGCAACTGGATGGTCCAATGCCATGCAGACATGTGTGGTAGGCATTGTTAGAAACGGGGACAGAACGGCATTAAAAGTCGTCCAATGGACCGATACCATTTTTGCTACCTCACCGCGTATGTATGTTTTGGCGCTGCACATGTTTTGTGGCAATTTTATTTTGGGTCTCTTCACGCCTCCACACAATAGTTGGCAGAATGTACCGTGGTTGAAACTAGTCTTACATGCATTTGTTGCTATGCGTGGTAGTTTACTGATGGCTTCGTGTCAGGTCGTCTATCCCCTTACCTAAATAATCAAAACGCCCAAAATGTCTTTTGATGTTGAAGCTATATTTGCGGTAATGCAACAGGAACCTTGTTGAGATTTTATACAAAGTCGAGTGTTTTACGTAATCAACCCTTTTGATTATCGTTATCCTAACTCTTCATTACTAATTGCCTTCGTACTACTTGTGGCTTATTTCGAGGGTAGGAGAAGCGCATTTACTATACATTTTCCTTGTTTTTACCCTGCTTTTCAGATCCTGATTCTTTTACTTTTTGACCTTTATGTGGTTGCTGAACGCACACTTTTACAAGGATGTATTGTTACACTGTCACTGCTCTAAATACGCTTTTCTTGGAGATTTTGTGGTCGTAAATCGGTATTTATTGCCATGAGCCTTTTTCATGGCTTAATGCATTTTCCAAATAGCCTTACATTCAAGCAGATGAAGTAAGGGTGACTGTTGTATTCGTAAGGCGCGCAGAGTAGATGGTCAGTTTTACCCCAGCTCGTTATGTTTCCTCAGGGCGCAAGTCTCCGTTCGCGGACATCTCTGCCCGACCTCGCTACTCCAAAGTCGGTAAAGTGCCCTTTGTAGGGATACATGTTCCCTTCACTGGCATCGTGGGAATGTGCTCGTGAGAATTTTCCTTATAGCCAGAAAGTACCGCTAGAATGACTCCCGCAACAGGCACAGTCATCATGTCCGAAGTTAAAAGGAGCGTCATTTTTCGGTTGTTTACTCTTGCGTCGACATTTCATCCCGCGTCGCATTCAACTCTGCAAAATATTTTTAAAAAAAACTTTCTAGAAAAGTCATGGCGAGATTCGCTCAATGGTAAACCAAGCCACATCAAAAATGCCTTGGGTTTTTTGCAGGAAGACTACATAAAGATGAATCGAGGTATCAACGACAGCCAGGATCTTCCCCGAGAATACTTAGGACGGATATACGATGAAATCGCTCAATGCGAAATTCAAATGCGCTCTGATACCGCATCGCCTGGAGTGGTTGCTAATGGCGCCACTGGACATCCAACCAATGCCGCAATTACTGGTGTCCGAGATCTTATGGAATCTGTAAGTTTGCTTTTTTCGCGCCCCCCCCCCACATTTATGCGGTCCCGTGCTACGTCTCAAGCAGCGTTCACGCAATTTCAATCCTGTGCAACTTTTTTCGAGAGATTCCATAACGACTTCAGACGATTCAGTGTTTCAGGAAGTCTTGGCTTTTACTGTAACTTCGAGTGTTTTTGGATTCGTCACACTTCGTCATTGGTAATTTCGAGTTACGTTTTAGCGTTAACTTATTTTTAACTTCTTACCGTTACAAGTTTACTATTGAATTGCCGAATTCAATGTCATAAGTCATTTGGCTTAAAGACTATGACTTTTTGAATGCTCTCGCTAAGCCACATTCACATGTCCTAGATGTTTCGCTACCATTTGCACAAAACAGCTACTTTCCCCGGCATTTGTTACCCCTGTATTGGTTTTGTATCTGATTTGTCTTTGGCCATCGTATATGTGTCTGCCGAATATTTAGGCCCGTGCAGAGGGCTGATTTTGCGCCGTTCATTGCTGGACTTCCGCTCCGCAGAGTGGCCTGCTTGCCCATGCACGCCCAAATGCCCACACCAACCTTGCATTTGGTCTTCTTTTAATCCATTTACTGTGTTTTTGTGGAGACTCGTCTATATTATCTCAGGTCAGCATTACACAAGAATTCCTCGGAGCTTATTTCGTCACCGCCCGTCATAATTTGTCCTTCGTTTGGTTGTTACACTTGCTGCTTCGACTCGTCTTCGCTTTGTTTTTAATGCTAAGCTAGTTGTCATTTTTACACGATTCTAATTTCGACACATCTTCTAATAGCTGCTGGTTCAATTTCACCAAATCGCAGTGACATTATTAACATTTGCTGGCCAGTTCTATGTATTCGACATAGATGCATAGATGACACTCGAAAATCAGGGACCAAAATGGAGGACTTTCGAAAACACATGTTTTGGGCATAATTTTGCTTCGCTTTTTAATTTGTATGATCCTCACATAAAGATATTTGATGTTGTGATTAAGTTTACCCTCTAAATAAATCAGATCTAGTAGTTGCCATAGAAAACGTTGGCATTAACGTGACATTTCTCCTTCACTCCTGCATGTAGAGATTTATTTGAAAGTGTACATTTCCTAAGAACAACTAGTTTGCCATCTTGCCTCTCTGGAAAATCAACTGCCACCTGTTATCGAAGGATTGTTCTAGTTGCTACGTAGAACAGATTAGTTTATGGTATTTATCTAGCCTACTTCCATTTCCATGCTCTATTCCTGAAAATACCGTTATCGTGTGCTCTACGAACAGATCATTTTACAGATATCTTATTTGTCCTTTTTGTTCCCTCCAGGTCAGTCACATGCAATCGGAATTTACCTTCGCCACGCATTTTGAGCACGTTCGTCCAATGTTTAAGTTGGTGTGGACGCCATTTCTTGCCGCCTTTAGTGTGGGCCTTCAAGACTGCGATGACCCTCTAGTAGCTCACCACTGTCTTGAAGGTATCCAGTGCGCCATCCGGATCGCCTGTACCTTCCGTATGGAGTTGGAGCGGGACGCCTATGTTCAAGCTCTGGCTCGATTTACTCTGCTGCTCTCCACTTCTCAACACCAAAGTGGTGTTAGTGTTGCTAGTGGACAAAGTGGAGTCCCAGGAAGTTCTCTATGGCAAGTGCTCTAGCTTTTTAAATGAGTCAGTAGCCGAGGCACTTTCTAATTAAGGTACAAAATATGTCACAATTAGGGTGGGCTATTAATACAATGTTTTGTGTGATATGTTGTGGTTGTTTAATAAAGGCAAGGCAAAATGCTTCGAAAAGTGACCATGCGACATCTCAGCACGCACTTTTTTGGCGTGCTTGAGCGTAATTGTGGGAACTAAAAGCCTTGACACAAATCCTTATGTATAGTTGCTACGACGGTTCAATGTGGTATTTCTCAGCTGCTGATGCCTTTAATTCATCTAATTATTTGTTGCAATATTTACCATTGACACACTGGCAGGTGATACCGCTCCATTTTTGGAAGCCCCGCTTGTGGCACGTAACGCCTGTAACAGTGCCTTCATGAAGGGGTAAAGTTTTGTCGTGATGAAATGCCATGCTAGCTTGAGCTAAACAAATTTGATTTGAGGAACGTTTGGTGCCTTCCACACTATCCTAATACATCTGGTCGTTTCTAGTTGTATGGTATGAATATGTGCGTCTTACTAGCAGGGCGAATTCCTTCCATTTTGTGGTTTTCTGTTGAGTCACTATTTGCCTGAACTATTACTGTCAAACTTGCGTCAAGTGATTGCTTTAAATCCTTTTTTACTAAAATGCATGCGCCCGTAGAATTTCCTGCGATTTGTTAAATACATCAGGAAATAGAGGGCAGTAATGGGGTCTCATTGTGGAAGGAGGAGAGTATGTTACAAACTTGACTTAGGTCGCTGTGGGTTGAGCTGATAATTAGGGGGGATGGAATTTTAGAAAGTGAGGTCGGCCTTTAGGGAAGTCGGTTTTGACGTTAAAGCCGATCCTCGTGTCTAGTGTCTGGATTGTTGCTGAGACTAGTTTCGATGTTGGCAGTAATAGTGCAAAAAGTGAATCATTGATGTACTTATTTTAACTTGTAGGCACGTTTTAAGAGATATAAACAGCCACCCCAGGCATCCTAATACGCGCTTGACTTTAGTTTTAAGTTAGCATTGATTTATTTCGAGAGTGGGTAACTTTGGTCAGGTCTCGCACGGACAGTGTTTACGGCCTTGTGACTGGAAGCAATTCATCGATTAACTCATCTGCATCAGCGGAGTCCAACCCTGTGATAAACCCTACACCGGAAACAATGAAGTCCAAGAATGTTGACAGCATCCGCACACTTATCTCCGTGGCCCAGACTGACGGGAATTACCTTGGACACTCCTGGCTCCATATTTTGCGCTGTATCTCCCAGCTTGAGTCAGCCAATGTTATTGCTACAAATACTGCTCGCTCTCTACCCAAACGCCGTCACGGCTCATGCAAGTTCTAAATTAGCTTGTGAATATAATCTAATCTGCCAATGTTTTTACTCGTTCAATCAACACTCGGGTTCAAAATCATGGCTCATGACAAGTTTTTTTGGCTTTAAGTTATGATTTCCCAATCGGACTCTTTATGTACGCTGTAGACACCCAGTCGTCCGTCACTGATGAGATTGGAGAGACGCATGGAAAGCCCAGGGGCAAGCGAAGTGGACTCGCACCGGGCAGTTTAGCCGCTGCCACAGTCGACTCCCACAAGGCCGCGGTTCTGCAGGAGGTCATGGGTGAGACCGGCTCCCGTAGTGTGGTCGTTGCAGTTGACAAGGTGTTCTCTGGTTCAATCCGGCTCGACGGGGATGCCATAGTTGACTTTGTCAAGGCCCTATGCCAGGTATTGACATGTCGCCGTCTTCTTTTTTATGTTAAATGTTTAAACACTGCATAACTGCCATATTTAAACTGTTCACGTAATTTGTTGACGAAATCATTGAACATATTGTTTTTGCTTCTTTTAGTCCATAAAACTAGTTAATGCTTCAATTAATAATTTATTCCTCTGTCGGTAATTTTGATTTTAACCAGTTATCTATGTCTTGCGTCCTTCTTAGCCAGAAGCACGTTATTTGCTATAAGCCTGCGGGAACACTTGATTGTAATGAGGTGACTATAGTTCCAACTCCCACAGATGTGCTCTGCCAATCGGGTACTCAGATATCGGCGCTAATAAGTCAAGACAAATACTTCTCTATGAGATTGTGCCTTCGTGTGTTCTGCTACCTTCCTAGAGTCCGCTTTTACCTCTGAAAAATCTTTTGTAAGGATTATAGAACTTGAAGTTTTTTGTGAATTTCATCACTGTTCGTGTAAATTTGGAGTTTTTCTGTATTTTTTTCGTACTATAGTCTTTATTTACATGTCCACGGTGCAAAAAGTGCGCGTAGAAGAAGCCGTATATACATAGCGTACTGTTTTTATACAAACTGACTTACCAGTGAATGTTTGTCAAACTGGTTCCTTTTCGGAGATGAGCACACCGAGGTCGATCGCTTGAAAAAAGCGAGACTCGGATCGTTGGAAAATTAAACTCTTTTTTTCTAATTAAGATAGGTAATTAGTATAATTCATCTGTAACAAATGAATTTTGAAGGTAAACTTACAACATCCATGTTGCACTGCGACTCATTGACTGGGTCACCAAATCCAAGATGTCGCCCTGCGCGCAAACGTGAACAGTGAAATAATGGTCTGTTCAATATACCAGGGTTGATATTACATTAACTTTCTCACTAAAGTGTGTACCTTTGCATGTAGAGGATAGTGGATGCATGTCAAGTATATACCCCAAAGTAACCGTCTCATTAAGAACACATATTTGTCAATATTGGAACTTCCTTGCTTTAAATTATGAATGTAGAATATAACTAGTCCATTCTATTGTAACAAACATTCAGTTAGAATCCATTAAGCATGACCTCGTGAAGGCCACTGCGCTTTCGCGTGTTGTCATGGGCAACGTAAACCTTCACGTATCCCTTTTTCTTCCAACAGTCACTCAACAACACACCAACCACCCTTAACCACATGCGTGTAAAATGCATGGTAGTGAAGCTCCATTTCGGCATGCTTCGAATTCGTTTTTTTGGTTTTAGGTATACTGGCAATGACTTTGACGTTATTGCTGTGTCCCTTTTGCGTTCGGTCTTTCACTGAAGATCCACAAACAGCAATGCGTCGTTGCAACTTATAACATAAAGCTGTTTTTGTCTTTTGGTGACATATTTGTGCCTCAGCTAGCCTGTGCGAATTTGGGTGTATAACGAAATTCTTATGCTGTGTACTCACATAATGTTAATCTTTGAGAGGAGGACCCCATTTCAGGCGTATTACAGAAACGATTCTGTGAAATTTGATTTGCTAACCGAATTGCTAATGCTGGCACTAATACGTAGATAAGATGACTTGACCACATCCCAAAGCAGTCTGAGAAATCATTGGCATTTTATTTAATTAAAGCAATCCAAATCCAATTGTTTGGAATGGACTGGGTTGTTGTTGTTGTTGTTGTTGTTGTTGTTGTCTACGCGTCTCCCTCTACGTATTTCTTTACCTTAACGGCTTAGTATCGGGGATTTTATCCGAACATATTTGCAACCACAAGGTTACTAGTCTTGGTGTTTTTTATTTAAGGGTTACAATTAAGTGTCACCTCTTAATGTGTTCCATGTTTCATTGTCAACAGTGTCTGATGCTAACGGCATTATTTGGTTTAGATGATGTATTTTGATTTCTTGGGAATCCTTCTTATAATGTCATTTAGTAAGTTTTGTTTTCTGATCCCATACTTTCTGGTAGCATTACTTTGCGAATGTTGTCTAATAGCTTTCAAAGGTATGTTGGTGACTGGCTGAGGACGCCTATTTCGTAGATGAGTGCATCTGCACATATGCATTAATGCCTCACTTGCTCCCATCGTTTTAGGTATCACTGGAGGAGCTGGCACTTCCCCAACCAAGTCCGTCACTGATGAGATTGGAGAGACGCATGGGCCTTCAAGACTGCGATGAGCCTCTAGTAGCTCACCACTATCTCGAATGTATCGAGTTTGTGTCAGTTAATCTATCCCCGTACTAAAATTTCTAATTTTTATTAGTTCATAAATTTTTAGTTTTCATTATGTAGTTTGTTGCTGTCATGTGGGTATTACTTAAGCACATTTTGTCAAATTCGTCTATACGTATCGTCCAACCTTTTTCTTGTTCTTGTTTTGTTAGGCAGTGTCTTGAGGGTACAGTTGCTGCTAAAGAGCACTGATAGTTCAAATCAACTATTAAGGTATGGTGAATTCAGTTATTGCCTAATACACATAGTTGGAAGCAGAAATAACAAGGGAATGCTTTAAGACGGCTGTGTGTTACCGTTGAGAGTTCAATTTAATGTTATTAACAAATTTCTTTGGTGCTAACTTTTGTTTCTCTGTCAACGAATCGTTAATTTGAATCAATAATGGAAGTATTTAAGCAAAATATTGATATTTATTTATTTAATAGTTTGAAGGGAAGCCTTAATAGTAACATGGTTTGACCAAATGTCGTTGAATTTCCTGACTTTAGCAGTCATTAAATTTTAGGTATTTATTTTTAGGAAGATTAAACTAGTAAACACTGTCTTGTGTAGATGGTTCTACAGATTACTGACTTGATCTTCACATGTGTCCCTACAAAGATAATGACCACATTAAATATTCTTATATGATTTGCACAAATTTACAAAACACATTTTAACCGTCCTTGGATGTTTTAAAAAGGTTTGTCTACGGTTCCGTCATGCCGCCATTTATATAATGTTGAGATTACTGCAATCTCAGAGCTATTACCCGCGTTTATGCAATGGACAGAAAATCGGCACATCGAGTAACGCAACACACATACAGGTTTACACGATTTTGCCTTGTAAACATTCAACAACCCCATCAGAATTCTCTGTTTAATCTGTGAAGTAAACAGGAGTTAGGTGACTTCAGCCAGTCTAAATATATCACTAGATCGAGGAAGTGTAGATATAAGTTATAAATAACAACAGATTTACGCAATAGCGGAAAAATTAAAGAGATATTTACTAAGTCACGAATTCTTTCAAACGAATGGTAGTAGTTGATGCAAAGCATCTTAAGTTTTTTCAAACTGCTAACCTTCGCCAATGCAAGTATGTTTAGGAAAATTCATAGGATTGACATTTTATATATAACACTTATAATGAATTTGATGAATAATTTGTCCAAGTACGCCAATGGTCCTATAAATCAAGGCGCGGTTTTTGATCTAACGTCGGTTTCGTATTCGCCCGCTTTGCTTTATGCAACTATGAAAGCTGCAGATGTATGTATATAATGTAAAGCCATATTCGTAGCTACCGATTTATAATTGTCCTATTGATGATGACAAGGCATATGTTCTTGAACCAATACCTGACTCCGCGGTCAGGACGTGGTTACTAAATATAATTTCGCCTGCTAGACGTTCAGTCGTCAACTGGTATGGAACGGCGGAGGTACTATGAATTACTTTATCTAATTTTCTAGACGAATACACAAAAGTCGGTAAAATTCGTTCTTGAAAAATCTATGGGTTTGTAAACCCATTTTAACATTTGACCCTTGACCTAGCCGTTTATCAACACATTCAAAACGATCCTGTCATTGTGGCTCGAGGAGGCTTTATTTCGGTCTGTGGCCTAGGTGGTATTGTTCTTGGAAGTAGAGGTGGGTTAGAATAATTGTCTCGATCTTCTCTAGGTGGGGTTCTTCGTCAAATCGCTTATGGAAGTATTGGTTCATGTCTCGGGACAGCTTTATGCTACCCATCGTGTACATTTAAAGCGATTAACTATGCTTGGGATTCTGGAGCTAGCAAAATTATTGAATCGTCGGAGATGCTTAAGCGAAAATATAAGAGTAAGTACGCAGAATGTAGCTTTTAAAATCGCTGGCTTCGTCAAATTGTTAATTTTATTTTTTGTAGGTTGACCGTGTTTTCTGGTCTCTTTTTGTCAGTTGCTGTTTTAAGCATGGAATTTTGAACAGAATATTCTATTTGCTTTTTTTTCAAGAAACAGCACCCCTTAAATCTTGTAGATTCAGTTGCTCGATTGAAGTCGGCCACACAAACTATGACATTTTTAAAATTTTTTATGTGCGTGCAGGTAGGCTTTAGAACATTTGTACTACGGGAATTATACTTGAGCTTATTGTCTCAAGTATTTATCCTGAAATCGATGTTTTTAAAATGAATAAATACGCCTACTGCTGCTTCTACTCTCTGTTCTTGGGTTTTATGTATGATATCCTTTCCTGCTGTAGACGAATTTGCTATGGGATATCTCGGTAATAACAAATCCGAAAAGATCCTAAATTATTTTGGATAATCTCTCTGCTCTCGGTCTTGAATGTAATTCGCCGAGTATGCTAGTCCTATTAATATTTACGCTTTTGCTACATAATTCTTGCAAAGTTAATCTTCGCATATTTGACTGGTTTTTGCATGTCGTCACGGTGCTTTTGTTTAACGGTTGACATCAACTCACTTTTTCGTGCTTAACCACAATCTCCTCTAGAAAACTATCATTTTCGATCATTACCTTGTGAGGGGTTGCGACATAAGTTTTCATTAGAAGTGGTAATTGTAGCTACTTGTGACGAAACTTCGGTCACGATCGGATTGCCGTTAGATGAAATAAGTGTCTTACGTGCTTAGTCCTTTAGACGTACTTTATTTGCATGGTCAAGATAGGGCACGGGTTGTATTACATAAGAAGGTATGAAATTTCTGTAGTCATATCTTTATGGTTATGCAGTTGCGTTGAAAATTTTATCTTGGCTATACATGCTGGAGACTTTTTGCGAAATTGTATTTCTGGTTTAAACGCTCAAGTCTTGTGTGTTCTACTATGTAGGTCTAGTTATTCCGCCCTCCCCACAAGTCAGCATGTTTATTATTACAACATTTAAATTATACTTGCTTTTCGCATGTAATATCTGCGAGACAACCGCCCGTTCCGCGCTAGGTTTTATTTGCTTCATCACTAACTTGGGTACCTACAAAACACCTGTAGTGGTCAACAAAGTAATTTGTCCAATCAATCACGGGCGAACAGCAATTGGATATGTATTTATCAAATCCCAATTTTGTCCGACCTGCAAGACGAGTGATACTTGTTAAAAGACGAGTTTGCAGAAGGGCAGTGCAATCTCTCAGTTGTTTCGCTCCTGTGTTTCTGAGTTTCCTCTCCTGATTATAAAGTGTGCAACAGCCAAGGGGAAAAAGTAGCTTTGCTGTCGTAAAAGGACCATGATTCTGAGTTGGCATAGTCGAATTCGCTAACAAAGCGCACTTCCAGAGACTAAACTCTGAAGATGACGGGGCGCACATCACTGGATTGTTTCATGTTAGTAAACAGTCTCTCGACACTACATTTTCAATTAAAGAGTGGCGTTCCTAGCCCTTTTCTGATGTATTGTGTGGGTCTTTTCGTTTACTCGAGCAACGAACATGCATTAGCCTGATTCTACTGTCTTAACCAAAAAAATTTTCATCTAGCGATCGTTATAATGTTCTGGACTTTCATTTTCAAGTTTAGTCACTATAAATCTGGAAAAATGCACTGAAACCGTTAAGTGAAAACGAAATTAGACAACTTCCCGCGGATTTATACATGTGATAGGTGACATGACAGCGAAGTTTGTATAACTAAAACAGCAAATATCAACGAGAGAACAGTGTTGGTGTAATAGAGCAGCCGTTGGATCAGAAAATTCGAGTGGCTTGACACTGAAATGAATGTCAAAAATTTACCGAGGTAAATTCTCATTGTTTTTGCAATGACAGACGAGACAATATAGCTGTTATCGAAAATAGGCACACCGTAGATTAAAAAGTAATCTGCAGGCAAAGATTTTTCGTCTCATGTTGAGGAAATACTCAGCAGTGAAATATAGCTTGATTTCCTAGGCTTCCTTCCATTCAAAGGAAATGAACCAAATAAAAATCCTTAGGTTATTAATTTTCTCCTGTTAAGAATCAGTGGAGCTTGTATTTATGATTCGTTTTTAGTAATTAGACACTAAATTTCAGACAAAAATGTGAAAATTTAAGACAAATACTATATATTTATCACATCAAACGTGTTTTTATGTCTGAAAGCTTGTAAAAGCTTAAATTATTTGTTTAAATATATTTTTGTAATATTTGTTTTTGTACATCCAAATAAGATTAGGTCGCGCGTCGGCCTTGATCTAATAATATCGTGGACGTGCACGCTGGTTCGTCGATTTGTATGGACCATTGCATCGCGTTTATTTATGGTGTCCTGTGTTGAGATAGTGCCAAGATAATTCCCTGTGGGCAAAGCACGAAATGCACAAGACCTAAACATTTGTTAGCTCTCATTAATGTCATGTTGATACACATTACTCGCCTTTCTATCATCTTTAGATTCCGGAGAAAAATTTCGATTAAATTCTGATATGTTCGGATGTATTATTATTAGTTAATTAGTAGGGTACGGTGCTCGATTTATTCACTCGTTTCCCGCGCGGCAGTTGGTGCATTATTCGCAGATCACATTGTAGTAGTTTTCTCTTGTAGATAGGCTTATTTGGTTTAACACTCAACTTTTTTCCCTTGAATATTCTATTCCACCTTTTTTTCTTGAGCATAGGATAAGTCTTGCCTATGTACTATGGTGTTCATTGGTGGTTTTTCTCATGACTGCAAAGATTTGTACCCTTGTATGCTTGCGGCAAAGTACATTTTTCAGATACTCTTCCAGCACACTGATTTTTCAATGCTCTTTCAAGGTTAATGGTGGAAATAGAGAAGATAAATGAAATAGTTGAAGCGAAGGACATTGACAGCAATGTTGCGTCTAGGACACAAGTAAAGGTAAGATTGTTTTCGTGGTTACTTTTCGCCATTATGCAGTGCGCTCACTCCTTCAGGCAGGAATAAAATATTTTCGACTGGTTGATGCTGGTTTTTCCATCCCTTGCGTATTTAAGTCATGTTTTTTTCTCTAATAACTCATTAGTTTATTGTTTGGTTTAATTTCTAGAGTGCACGTCCTTTGCTTAACCATGCCATTTGTTTATCCTTTTTTTCTTCTGTTTGCCATGTCTGGCATTTCCTCATTACGACGTAACTTGACTAAATTTTCGTTTCGGAAATAAAGTTAGGTGCACCATTTCTATTACTTCCTCACCGTATTTGACGAGTGAAAAATACTCCTAAACCTTGAATACAACTAATTTTTCGACGCATTCGATTTTGAATAGGGCAATGTTTTGCTAAATTACCGCTTCTGTTAGGTTTTCTTTTCTGTATCAAACAAAACTTTTAGGTTTCGAAATCTGCGAAACGCAATCAGAAGCGGAAAGCTGCCCGTGAAGCTAAACGTGCTGCACGAGCCAACCAACCAACCAAGCCCATTAAGGTATGTACAGTTTGTGTTCATAAATGATTTGCATTAAATTTCTGTACTGTTACTCTGGTTTTACTTTTCACAGTTCTACATGATATAAAGGTCGTTATATTGCTATTGTTTTAAAATGGAAACTATTTTATGCTTTCGCCTATACTCGCCGTTTTAGGCCCCACGACTACCGTCTTCGGTTGTCTTACCCGACCATCCAGTTGCCTCTGATAACATCCTAGATGATGTCGCTTTGCTTGCTGAAATTAAACGACGCCTTAGTATGTTTTGAATCTTTTTTTTTTTCAAATGTTTATCGGGATGTGTATCGTGATGATTTTTACTGTTGTAATATGATTATTTTTCTGTCTCTTTTCTACTTTATTCAGGTCAAAGATGGCACCAATTAAATCTGTGAAAATATAAATTTTTCTCAAAAATTAACTAGAACCACCGATATTGCCTATTCTAATTTATTGAAAATGAATGAATTTTCCATATTTTACTCTTCCATGTTGGTGTTACCACTTGAGTATCAAATTAACATTTAGCACTCGTTTCATGCATGAATTATTCAGGTAGCATCCTACGCGCCAGTATTTTTCTACTCCATAGGGATAACTTTGACAATAGTATTGTCCACATGTTTTCGAATAAACTTGATTTTCTCTATAAGTGCCAATGTCCTGGTCACTAATCTCAATACCGGCTCAATGGGCCTCGATTTGACGCCCTTTAAGCACGTAAATTATATAACTGGTAACTTCGTTCCAATAATAGATTTACCTCCACTTTTGTTTTATCGTCAACATCTCCAGATCAAGAATAGATCTCATAGCTCAATTTAGCAACTACATGCTGACCTTTTAGATGACCTTAATGCCCTGACAGTTCGTATTTCGCCGGTGCCCAAAAACTGCCCACTCATTTTACTGCAGGACCTCTGTCCAACATCACTATCGGTGCGTTTACCTTCAAGACGGAATTCGCGGTACGTATGCATTTGGTGCTGAAGACGTTGCCTTGTTGATAGTGTTTCTACTTCCTGTGCCACATAGGGTCGTCCTTGTCCATCCACCCCAAACTGCTTACAACTACAGTTTGAAAATACTTTCAGAGCATTTATTTAGGCAGAATTTGAAGTTGTGTCCTTAATCTTAAGATTTTATCGGGTGCTTTATTATTACGATGACAGTTCCAATTTAGATAAATTTGTAACGCTGTCTTCTTATTGACAAAAAGGATTTCCACGTTCGTAATAATTGGCGAGGCGTGATACAAACAATAATTGTGGTGATTGTATTTATCACATTTATTTGACTTTCCTCCTCCTAGGTACGCCTTCATCGAATTCAAAACCGTAGCTGAAGCTAAAAGTGCAACAAAGGACGTGACGGGTAAATTGCTAGACGGCAAAGTCATCACAGCGACTATGTGCAGTGATCGACTTGGTGAGACGTTACCTAGTTGGAAGCTTCCAACTGAACGTGGGCTCGAGGACTTCAATCTTACCTGCCTCTTTGTGTCACATTTGCCGCGATTTACGGAACGTACTGATTTGGCTCAGGTTTTCCGCAACGCTGCCACCATCAAGTTTGATAAGCTTGCCGATGGTTCTTGCAAAGGGTGATTTTGAGGTTTACTTTCTCGTCAGGTTCCTTTTTTTTTGTTTCAAGTGGTGCTACCACCGGCAACGTGGATCAACTTCATCCACAGTGATATTTAATAATTCTTTTTTAATCTCGTACATGTTGACCCACGTCAGATTTCCATGATAATTTTGGAAGTAGTGCCATCATTTCCTGGTTTGCGCACTATATTGGATCTAGCCCTGCAAGAACTCATTCTCTGAAATGATCAAGTGTCGCAAATAAGTGAATGTGTGGCTACGCGCTTCTAAGGTGCAGCTCAAGGTAAACTGACGGAGGATATATTAACAACGTGTTGTGATTTCCCTCGCAGTGGTGAAAAAGTCTGAATATGTGTCGTCGCGTATTTCACCAGACAGCTTTACCATGGGTTATGCCTTCAAAAGCGGTATTGAGAGTTTCAGGCTTCCCTTCCTTTCTCAAATGTATCCACGTTCAAAGATCCAACCGGATATACTGCACTCGTGATGATCTATTGACTAGGCCATTTTGTGCAAATATGTGTATTCCTTGGAAGAACACCATAACTACGAGTGTCTGAAGGCCATTATTTGCGTCGATGGCACACGCACGGGAAGTCTCCGTGGTGAGGGAACCCCTATTTCGATAGCCTGTGGTTGTCATCACTGGAAGCTACCAAACAGGTCTTGCACTTGTTTGTCGCGCGAAATGATGGCTCGGTTACGGAAGTCGTCACTTCCTATCTGCTTTACTCTCTTAGGCCAGGTGCGACCCTGTGGAAATTTTGAGGGCTTGAAAGCAGTCAGAGCCTGTCACACACGCACCTCGCCAGAATCCTGTATCAATATCATTTGTAACCTTTCCTGGCTAGATGCATTAATGGCCCATGACTTTTCAAAACTCGACAATTGCCTAAGTGTGTACAACACCCGAAACCGTTTTTGTTCTACGTTTTTTCCCGAATTATACCTTGGCATCTTTCGGTACAGATCTTGCCTTCTGAATTACCGATCGCGCGAAGATGCGCAAAACGACTTTGAAAAGCTCCACGGAGCTCTATTCCATGGCATCCCCGTCCATGTGAACTTTGCCCTAAAGGTAATTAAGGAATCTTGATTCGAGATTTTTTCGACAAATATAACACCAGTGTGCACTTTTTAGTCCAAGCAAAGCAAACCTACTAGTAGCGGACCAATTTTGCTGAATCGAGGATCAGTGAAGCCCCAGAAACGCAAGCTAGAGACTGATGGTGAGGTTCTCGCGGAAAAGGAAAATCGAAAAAGGCCTCGATCGGAAGACAGGGCATGCGTTGAATCGTCACGGTGTACAAAAAAGCAGACCGAAGAGAAAGAATTCACAGTCTCTAAGTCCCCGGAATCTGTTACCGCAAATCAAGTCAAACTACAACCGTACCAGTTATCACGAAGCTCGGATAAGAAGAAGGTAAAAAAGAAGGCGAGAAAGTCGTCTAAATAGATCGATTTTTCAAGTTTTTCTACAATAAATCGTGTAAATCTTTTTCTGGTTTTCATTTGTCTTGCGAAGTCAACCAGTGTCAGCCGCTTCGCAAATGGCTGGGTTCTTCTACATCAGTGTACCCAACTAAGCTTGAGACCGAAAGACGAAGTGCTAACGTTAGTCAACAGGCCGCCGATACGTGCGATCAAAAATAACCACTAAGTCCAGCTACTAGGCGAGTCGTTGGAGGCTTTAACACTTGCTTTACGTTATTACCAATTTATAAATAATAAGAGATATTTTTGAAATTGGCGTACCATGCATTTGAAGGGGCTAGGGTAGAACATATGAGTAGACAGCTCATTGAAAATTAGAAAGCTCGGAAACCATGCCGTGTTTTTGATGTCTTTTCGTAATTTGGGTTCCGGATCTCACCAAATTCACAAACTGGAGAGCTTGGAGTTTTACATGGAGGTCTCCAACCGTCGTCAATACTGCACGAATTGCACTTAATGATGTCGTTGTCTTTCTGAGCCATCAGCTAAAGAAATAACGTCAATTCCAGGCATTAATTACCTTCACTTTCCGAAGGCCATCTGCGGGACCATCAATGTCGAGCAAAAAGTAGTGGCCCTCGTATTGCCTTTCACCTCCAACACGATAAACCTGTGGCAAACGTCTCCGACCGAGATTCTTTACATTAAAAACGACGTGGTCGTTGTCAAATAATCGCAAAACATGTCTTTTCAAGGCTGCCTTAACTGCATCATGCCCAAGAGCCTTTATAATAAGCGGCATTTCGTACCGCGCCATTGCAATGTGGTGTGGTGTGGCGTCGGATTAGGGCGCAGACATGTTGGACCACCTGCCTCAGCCAATCCCGTGTCTCTCTGCGATCCAATGGCATTCGGGAAAGGAAGGCAGCCAACCAGAGGAGGACATGGATGAGATGCAGTATATAAAAAGCGGCGTGGCCAGCGTTGTGGACTCGGATGGAAGGCGCCTGACGTGTGGCTCTGGCTTCTGATTGGTCAATAAAGCCTGTTCTGTTGTACCGGTCTT